TTGGATATCGATCGTTAGAGTAGAAAACGTTGGTCTACAGACGCGTCTGTCCACGTCAAAGGATACAATGATCAAACACTGGCGGATGTATGGTCGTGCTACGACGAGGGGTGCAGCTTGAAAAGCGAAACGGGGGATGAAAATGCGAGTATTCAATGTCGGACCTTCGGTCTCATTAACAAGGTGGTTCGTCAGGAAAAAGAAAGTTTATGTAGAGCTGAAAAGGGCGGAATGGAAGTAATAGAAAACGCTCGTGAAATCGACGGGTTATTTTCTTAAGTTGAAATGAATCCAATTTTATATAGTAAATTGAATACTGTTTCGAATAAAAGAAAATTCTAATTTATGGGTAGCATTGATCGAGACACTTTTACATACGATCAGCACCTCTTCAGCTTCTTTTTTGTCAAAAGAAGCAACAAAGGACGCTCTCGGTGCTTTCGCAGAACCTAATAAAGCTGCAAGCTTGTTTTATCGTGCCATTTTCGCTGACTCCATTCGCTATCCTTTCTTTACCGTAGAATTTTCAAACATAAAGCTTGTCAAAAGTGTTGAAAGGTTTCTCGATCCACTGACACCGATTTCTTTCATCATGGTTTTCACCCTTTGCACCTCCGTTAATTTTTAAATATGATTTAGTAGCAACTCCAAGGAATATAAAATAAAATGAATCTATAATTTTATTGTATGTTTGTCGCATCGTATGCAAAGTATTTAAGTGCGGCGAGTATGCTCTTATGGAGTGTACTAACAAAAGTTTGAATCCCACAGTTTTATTTCATAATAATTCCACAGACTTGCAGTCCCTTTGTAGATGAAAGAAAACAAAACAAAAATCTTCCTTTGTATTCCTGGACAAAGGGTTAAATTAACCTGAAGATCGTTGCCAGACGGTGTGTATAAAAAGCAGCCACGGAAATGTTCAAAATTTCACTGTACGGTAGAAAAAAAATTCTACAGAACATCAGTACACTAATTACATTGCATTTTGCCCCGGCGAAAAAAAAAGGGAATGATGAAGGGAAACCAGCTGCAAATCGTAGCAAAAAGCTTCGAATGAAACGAACAAAGTTAATAAAGTTTTTTAAATCACGCTGGCTCAAAGAATCTCGGAACTAAAAGCCACTAAACGCGTCCCTCTACATAATTTCAGCGTCTCTTTCTTTTTTTTTGGGAATTTTTGAACGTGCTCAAATGTTTTTTCTCCATCAAAGTTTCAACTTCAACTCTGGCCACCGGTCCCGTTTTATATACGAGATGTCGCTTCGACGGCGAACGTTTCGCGTCCTCCACACGTGAGCCAGGAAAATGGACACATTTGCCAGGGAAACGTTCAAAAAGTTTCTTAACGAGTACGCCTCGTTAGAAGGAAATTAAAGAGCATCTCTGTGGCAACGTAGACAAAAAACAACGAGGATCGCTCGGTGAGATCGGTGCGTTTTCCGCTTCTACCAATTAAAATTTTGCCAAACGAGTGCTATACCGAGCTTCGTTTAGACTGGAAAGTTGAATCGATCGACATAATTAAAGAGATAATTAACCGAGAGCTTGGTTGGACATTCAACGTGACACACTACAGAGGCGTTTATACCCTCTTCGCTTTTCTGTTGTTATTCATTTTAACTTGCTCCTCGCTGGTGGATAAACAGGATCGTTTTATAAATTAAGTAGAGCATCAAATTAAAGATTCGTGACATAAAAGTATTGTGAAATATTTACCCTTTGAATCGATCTACCGTAAGTGCTATTCCAAAATACTTTTCTATCATGAAATCACGTTAGACTTTTGACGTATTCCTAGGAAGGGGAAAAGGAACTGACCAAATTCTCGAAATTTCTGAGCTCGATGTGAAATACGGAAACGCTACAAACGACGTTAATAATGCATGACGAGAGGGAGAGAAAGGGTAGACGAGAGTAAAGGGACAAAGCAAAGTGGTTTCGTCACTAGTACAAACCATCGATGAATCTCATCAGGAAGTAGGTGGATGTTTCGAGTGTGTTTCGAGCAAACATGCTCGGCCATGCAGTGTCAACCTTCGCAAGTCGGGCTACGGTACGGCGGAGAATCGAAATCTGGGTCGCGCCAATTAATATTATAATTCGCGGTGGCCACGAAGCTAGAATGGAAACTATAAATCGAGCCAGCCAGCCAGCCAGCCCTCTGGAACCATCGTTATGATCTCCATTATTCTGTACGCGACGACGTTAACGTCGCATTGGAAATATAGCTGATGATGAATGTCCTTTGTCTCTTTTAGAGATCCTTTATCACCGATACGCTCAGTTGACCAGCGAGAAAAATAACCTTCTTTTAAAAACCTTCTAACGTTATTCACCTAGTATTCTCGTTCGCCTCCTTTATTTTTTTCTCACAGAATCTTTCTTTCCGAAAGATGTTACGCGTTTAATCCTCTTGCTTTCCGAGGGACAATGAGTCACGTGAACGAAGCGTACTACAATTTCACGGTTATATTGTCCCCTCGATTTTCCGAAGGTTCCCGTAATCCACCGTGAAAGAAATACGGCACGAGTCATCCGAGTAAATGGCACTGAATTGCTTGTAAAGGGAGGCTTGTTTTTGGATGAAATTGTCCCGTTCAGACGAAGACGTTCGAAACAATTTCAACGATCTATATTCCGGTACATTTGCTTTAATTAGCTCGTAAAATCGCTGGGATTCAATGATAGAAAAATTGAAAAGTAACGCTTTGACTGGCCGGAGGATCATCAGAGACTTGATTAAAATGTAGCAAAATATTTCTTAAAGAAATCTTTAAAAGAATTCTTTGATAAAGTCAAGTAATTCCTTTGTGCCTCGATTTTCCAGCCTCTCATTAATCATTTCTTTCGAAACTATATCCACCAGTTAACAGACACACAATTACCGAGCGGTTGTGTTTCCGTGTAGCCTGGTACTCTCCATCAAAGCGTTTTATTATCACATGATTTGCATACGTTTCGCTGTTGCGTGTCGAATTATGCATAATTATCCGCAATTATCGTCGAACTCAAAGGGCGGCTTTCACCTTTTGGACACAGCGAGATAAGCTGTTAACAACTGTTGCAGCCCCGAGCGAACTGTTTTACTCTCAAAGTATGTAATACGAAGAATCTCAAGCGACGTAATTAGTTTCCACGTTGTATTTAAGCTATTGATGTTTGCTGGCAAGGAATTTCCTACTATGTTCCATGCAATGAAGCATGATAAAACTACCCCCTTTACAAGCCTCGTTATAAAGCTTATAATTTTGAAATTCGTTGGCGAAAAATAGCGAACCTTGAATATGATGAAGTATCTGTTTATGGGATATTTAGAGCTTGAACAGGTAACTAGAAGACTCAATTTCAGTGGCATTAAATTTCTCGATTAAACGGAAATTAATATTTGCTAATGAGGAACACACAATCGAACGGTGCCGGCCGTGCACCAAGCGAAATAACAGACGTAATGTTAGCTCATAATCAAATAGCACACGATAATAGGTAATTTGCGATGAATTTTGATACACCGTACGGGTTAACATATCTTCTCATCAGGCTGAACGGGAATTAATGATGTAATCAGCTTTTAACCCTATCCCATCCAAAGCTGACTATAATCATTCGATGTGGAACGTTTGCATTCCCAAATAGCAAGATAAGCTGTGGAAATGTAGAAAAATAACAGTTAAAAAATTTTCTTTTATTTTGTTTTACTCCAGGCAATATAATCAAACACACCCTATACAAAGACAGAAAATAACAGTCGTTAGAGAAACAAAGTACAGCAGGCAAAAAAAGAAGGGAAAAGTGAAGGTGGGTAGGCAAGGAGATGGCGGAAATACAAGATGGTCGCGAGAAGGGGGAGCAAGCGAAATTAGGGGGTGGAAAAAGAAACGGCCGTTTAAGCAGCCGGCTACAGAGAATGGAAAACACAGTCTGGCAATGCTGTTATCGCGGTGGACAGCAAAGGGAAATATGGCGTCTATTATTCGCTGAATACCTTCACCTTTCCGTGTAATTGCCGCGCGAAAGAACAACCCCCGTCGTTCCCCCTTGCTTCCTTTCTTTTCCTTGCGGAACGAAAATGGAGGTTAGAACATCCGTCTGCTTTCCTATTTTATTGCGTTGAAAATTGTAGATCGTCTTAAGCGTTACGAATTAGGGGAGGAAAAAAAGTCAGGAAGCGAATCTTTATTTTCCTCGCGGTTTTCCTCGCGACCGGACGCGTGTTTTTTGCCCGTCTCTCGGTATAAGGATCCTGGCCGTTATCAATAGCCCTCTTCCAGTCCAGGAATTAGGACTGTAATGCGATAAATTTTGCACGAACCGCTGAAAAAGCACAAGCTCGTTTGTTCGAGGCTGAAGAGGGTGGAGTTTCCTAGGTTGTTGGTAAGCGATGATAAATTTGGTCATCGAAATGACCATGGAATTCCGGTGAACTTGAAAAATAGAGAGAAACATTTGGGCTGAAACACGATATGTTGAATTTCTTCTATTAATATTAACACGTTGACTGGCGCAGTAGAAAATCGTTTTATGAAAGGGGAAGAACAGACGGGGGGTCTGGTGAAATAAAACAGACGAAATTCGAGAAACGAAAGGGAAGATTGAATTTCATTGAAACATGTCTGGCCGATGGATAAATGACGCTTCCTCTGGATGGAAAAAAGGAGGCGCATCATTCGATTCGGAGCGCGATTTAGAACACGGTTCATCCTCGTTTTCTCCCCGAGAAAGTGTTAAGGAAAATGAAATGGAGTGAAACTAATTTCTCTCGTTCAAAGCCGTTAACGGAAGTCTTGGGCGTGTTTAACGGATCTGGAGCAGATATTAATAATGCAGAACGATAAGAAAAGGAAAAAACAGATACCCCGTTCGATCGTTTATTAACGCTGAGTTATTGATAAAATGCATTCTTGTAAATTGAATGGTATTTCGAACCTTTGGAAAGTTATAAGAGTATTTAGAAAATAGTGAATAATTTACTAACAAATTTGATTTTCTTTTTGTTGCAGCACGTCCTCAAAAAGTGGAGATTAGTAATTATCCGAACAAGGACAAGATCGAGGTAAAGGTGGGTGAATCTCGTCGTGTAGAATGCGTGGTTCGATCAGCGAAACCTGCTGCAACCATCGTATGGTATCGAGGAAACGTGCAGATCAAAGGGGGTGACACTTCCATCACACCGATCTCCATAGAGGGTGGTAAGTAAATCCAAAGCTCACCTTTGTGTTTCGCCCGTAAAATCGATAAAATCTTTCTACCGAAGCTCGAAGTTCTTATCTTCACCATAAGAATCGACGACCACGAAGCCTCCCTTTTTTTTTATCTTAAAACAGGCGCCTGTTATCTTAAACACTTATCTGCATAAGTTGCGCTCGAGGCTTAGTTCATGAATGGTATTAACAAAAAATTAATTCATGTATTAAAGATTTCGATGAAATTTATTTCAAACAAAAGGGTGTCTCTATCGTTCAATATCTGAATTTTGCAAAATTTTTTGAAGGAATTTTAGAAACTTTTGAATTTCAGAAGACAAATTGAATGAAAATAATTAACAGAAAGCTGTCGTCCGAGACGAACGAGTTTTCTTGTCGAAATTAAGTCTCCCCCTTGCACACGTTCCTCGAGCTATGATTAATCTTTGTTTACTCGATCACAGGGTAAATTTTATTTTCGTTCAGAGGACCCTAGAGGACCCTTCTTCTTCTTCTTCTTCTTCTCGTCCTTCTCATTAGTCAAATGTAGCAGAGGGTTTTAAAGCGTCGTTCCCGTTAAAAAAAACACACCCCTTTATTGCTTCGTTTGAGATAACAAATTGGACTCGTTTGCGGGAATCTTCATTAAGTAAACAGTTTTCGATTGAGCCATACTTAATTATAATTAACGAACTGTTATTGAGATATTCAATAGTCAATCGGTAAATCGTTTCTATAGTCATTTTCATCAAATTAATGTACCACAAATGGTATTTAACAATACTTTTGTGCCAAACATTTAATATTTCGAGATTCACTTAATTTGAACGGTAGATATCACATAAAACCAATTTTCAACGCTAAAATGCTATATATCGTATAAATTATTCAAGAAATTTTTAGTAAATTCCAATTGTGGAATATTCGGGGTAATTGAGCTTCGCTTTCAATTACTCAGACGCTTTACTCATAAACTTTAAATATCGTTAGCTGGAAACCGCTAAATGGTTTCGTTTCAAAAAGCTTCATTCATCAATTATATGTTATACCATTATAATATTATTCATTAACTAGTAAGTGGTACGAATTCCGCCAGCAATATTCATTAATCACAGTTCTAATATCATAAAGTCGTTCGTCGACCTATAAATTCGATTACCAAAATTGTTATTCATCGATAAATTCAGCTTTCAACAATCACCATCAATATACAGAAAATGATTTATTAAAATTCTTGAATGAACAATTATCGATCAAAATAACCACCCTTCAAACGACTGATCAGTTCTTCCTTATTTGAATTTCTTGGCAAATCTAATAGCCAATTTAGTGCTTTCAACTTGGCAAAGATTTCCAACCGGTGTTTCCTATTCTCCGTTCGAAAGGGGAATTCCTTGAGTAAAACCGAAGTTGAAATTCAGTGCAATCGATCAAGCAGAAAGACGCCGCTTCGAAAGTGGATTCCGCTCGTCGAAACTTACCCGAACCTGATTCTCCTTAATCCATTTTTACTGACAATTAAAGCCGCAGACGTAGACGTCCGCATCCCGACGCCGACGCCGACGCCGTTCTGGCAGGAACAACAATTCGAATCGAATGGAAAAAGGAATAGGCAGAGGCAGCTTCTCAATTCGTTCGTTCGCGCACAGACAAGGAGCAATTTTCAGAAGTGAAATCGCTTCTGCCAGTCGTTATATCGATCCCGTGGCGAACACACGCCTCCGGATAAAGGAAAACATCGAAAGGAAAAGAGGGAAACGCTATAAAAGATGAGTGCTGCGGGAGCAGAAGTAATAGGCAGAAACGGCGATGGAAAAAGAGGCCATAATGGTTCGACGAGCAAAGACTCGCTCCCTGTGTTTCTACGGATGCTTCCTCTTCTCCCCGCCATTTCTATGAAATAATTAATGAATATGAAACAGAACGGTCGCGACACGGCCGAGCTCGTTATCTTTATTTAAATCCAGCCAGCCGCGCCCCTTGTTGCGATTTAATCAACCAGACAGATCTGTTTACAATCCATGCTGACGATGGATGGAATAAAATATTGATACCATGAATGTTCGACGATATTTCAGGCTGACCTATCGACTATACAGATACTCGAGTGTTCGTTAAGGTAGAAAGAAATAACAAAAACAACCCTTTGTCAAGGTTCGTCAACTTTTAAATGAGAATGCATTCAAGGGGTTGAAAATGAGACCTATGGTATGGTGAAATTAATACTATAAAAATTAATCTGTATTATGGATGTTGATTAATATTGGCGTAATTAGATTCGCCAATTCTACTAAGGTTCTTAAGTTCCAAAATGCTAAAATTTTAATTTTCTAAATTAGTGTATAATCGACTGAAATAAATAAATATTCATAGATGAAATGATCTGTAATGTTAGCAGGAAGGTTAACGTCAGCAGTTTATATCCGAATGGCTGGTTGAAACCATTTCTCCCGACCGAGTTTAATATTTAAACTGGACCGCTATTCTTCTGCGTAGTGTTTTTTGAAAGCACACTAGAGAATAACTTAATAGAGTGTCTTAGTTGCTCCATTATATCCTTTCCAACAATGCGGCCCACTACTTCTATGCTCGCCCCATATATTCTTCTTTTCGTAACGTTCCAACATAGTTAACGTTTCATGATCCCTAGGGTCGTAACTATGGTTTGTACAGTAGCTGTTCCAACGGCTTGAAAGTTTTATCTATGGCCGTACAGGTTTGCGTGAAGATTTTTCCTTCGTAATTCGCCTACCCTTGCCTCGCTGATAAAAGTAACCTCCCTATGTTGAAAGGGATATTAATTGTAATTACTTCTACAATTTATATATTCTACTTTTGAAATAAATCTTTAGAGCTTTTTTTTATTTTTAAGCAAACTTGATACTGTCGAATTAAATTTTTACTATTTCATAAAATTTGTAAATAATTCAGGTTGATGTTTTCTCAATGGTTAAGACCGTTGGATTAGTTTATTTACGCTAGAAATTAAATAAAAAAAGTATCGTGTTACGTGTAGGTAGTGAAAGCTATCTCCACCTGTCGAAATGGAAAATAATTTTCAGCAGAGGAAAATTAGCTAGCGCGAATGAAAATCCTGGGAATGGGAAATTGGAATTTCTTGAAAAATTAAAAATCAACATGAATATGAAATGGAGAACGCGAGATAGATTTGTTTCGTGTATTCTGATCGCGACAAATGGAAAATTCATGAAAAATTATTTTAGAATTTTTCGTCGAGGGAAACGTATGCGCTTTGAATACGTAATAAGAAAGAAATTACGTTTGCTGTTATTTCATTTTATTTAACGCTAGGACAAGCACATTTTTCACATTTCTCGTTTTACATTACAAAAATTTGAAAATTCTAAATTTTAGTCTCTTCTAAATCTAAATCTTTTAAGCTTGACTTCTGCTGATAAGAATTAATTAATGCAAAGCTATGGAAATGTTCAAAATAATCGTAGCACAAGAGGTTGACATTCGATGTATTGAAATTGTTTAAAATCCAATGGAATAGTTGCAACGAAATCGACGTTCACTTTGAATGCTTTAAACGGGAGTTTCGAGCGACGCTCGTGCATGCTCGTCCCTCAATCGGATTTCACACTTGGAGGCAAAATTTCGGTGGTTTACGACTAGTTTACAACTAAGTCTAAGTAGTTTCCTTCTAGCTGTACACGTGCAAGTTTCCTCTGTCGTTTGCACACGTTCAGTCGCGTCAGGAATTCCGAAACTCATCGTTTTCTAAGTCAATACATGCTTTTCCTTGATTGCACCCTTCTCGCATCTCTTCCATTCGATACAATTTAATACTTTCCTCTTATTCTATTCGAAAACCTTGCGTCCCCCGTTACAAGCCCGAACATCTCCAAAAAAAAGATCAGTTAATTTACCTCATTGTTCGAATAATTAGTTTTCATAAACGGAACGACGAAGCGCTCAAACTTTATGTGTAACCATTTTCCGGCGTGTAACATCGAGCCACGTGTAACGAACTCGTATTACCGAAATTCACACCGTGTTAATTAAATTTCAGATTACGTGCTGCGTTTCAACGGTTCGCGCGTTTACGCTGCAAATCCACGATAAATTCTGATAGAAAATGCGGCGGAAAAACGGAAGATTAACGGGATTCGAGGTGAAACTTAATCCTTCGTTTCGACAGAGAAAACAGTTTGAAAAAGCAAATGCTTATGTCGTAAGTTTGATTCAGCGCAAATTATTGGTATTAAGAGAATTTTTTTAAAAGACTTTCTATTAGGTTCTCGCTCCGGATGTCCCATAATATTCTGCTTATCCGTCTCACATTTTTACCACGTAAAGCGTGTAACTTAAACTCACCTCGTACTGAAAGCTTTTCGCATTCAAGCTTGTAACGAAGGTGTTAATAGTGTTGGTAAGCGACATCGTTACGGAAGTCGCGATTTCTGAAAAGGAAGAGCGATCGTTACTTGGAGGTAAAAGCCTGTCCGGTCTCGTTCAGCGATGATTTAAACAGTATCTAGCGATAGAGCCTCTGGAAACGCTTTATTCGCGATGATCGAGAGCCAAGAGGTGAATAAATATCGGTGAAATGCCACCGTGTCATCGGCGTCGAATTTCCTTAGAATAAAGTGTCGTCGAAGGAAGAAAAAGAATTTTTCAAGTCATTAAAAATCTGTGGATACCATTATCGAAATAGAAAATGAAATCGAAACTGAAAGTGTTTAAAATTCATATATTGTTAATTAACGTTGAAGAGAGACATCGATGGAAATAAACATAATCAACATACCAGATTTTTCTTTCCTTCCAGATAAAGAAGTGCAGAAAGTAGGTGAAAACAAGAAGGAATTGTTGAAATACGACACCCATGGTTCCATTACCATCATACCTACCGCGGATGACAACGACATGGATTACACCTGCGAGGCAAATCATCCTGCGATACCTATCGACATGCCTTTAAGGGCCACTATCAAGCTCTCCGTTTTCTGTGAGTACACCATTTCGACGTGTCTCGAATAATGGACAATAAAACATTCGCGAAATTATAAAGGGAACATTCGTCACACAGTCATTCATCTCGATGGTTACGTATTAATTTGCCGCCTCCTGTTTCTCGTTCCATCGCTGGCAAACTTTTATTAAGAAACTTTTCCCATTACTAAAAGAACAGAGATCCGAGCGTTTTCCATCCTCCAAAGTCGGACTTGCATGATTGAATAATTTCCAGATCCACCTGGTATGCCGTACATCGAGGGATACACGGAAGGGGAGACGGTCAAACGCGGACAACAGTTGGAGTTAACTTGCCGTTCACGTGGCGGAAATCCGCCTGCGCAAATCGTCTGGTACAGAAACGACGAGAAGGTGTCCACCAGGTCTCGTGACGAGAGAACGTTCTCGGAGAACGTGTTGTCCATCATCGCCAAAGCGGAGGACAATAAAGCTCGGTACAGGTGTGAAGTATCGAACATCATGAGCGTCGAACCCATGAAGGTGCACGTAGATTTAACCGTCTTATGTAAGTATCGCCAGTTTTCTTGAAAAATTTTTCTACAGGTAACGTAAGAAATAATTAATCGAGCAAATTATTACCATCTCCAGTTGCCCCGTCCGGAGTGATCATCACAGGTCCGACCGAAGCAAAAGCAGACGAGCAGGTGGTGATCACTTGCGCGACAGAGAACTCGAATCCAGCGGCGGATATAAAATGGACCGTGGACGGTCACAATTTCGAAAGCAACGCTTCGAGAACGGAACCAGCCCCTCAAGGGGGATGGATCACAACGTCCAACGTAACGTTCAACATAAGCCGCACCAGTCGCAGTATCGTGGTGATATGCGCCGCCTCGAACGTCAAGCTAACGGAGAACGTCGTCAGAACGCACACCATAACCGTGATTTGTGAGTACACCAGCAGGCAATTGGGTGAATGAATGCAATGTAAACGTAATCCCAGCACAATCTGGACTTAGACCGGGATTAATATGATACTAATCCGGAGGCAAGCTTAGACTTTGCTGCAACGTTTACCTCGTATCTTATCAGTTTAACCGGGATCTATGAATTTCGATCTGAACGTGTAACGTGAATTCCCGGAGAAATTAATCCTGATTTAATCTCGAACATCGTGTAAAAGAGCTCTTTGTTCCGCTTGATATATGAAGCTTTTTCTATTCATTGTGATCTTTGCTGTTCAGATCCACCATCGAAATTGACCGTCACTGGATACGAGGAAGGGACGACTATCGATGCTGGTACTGTGCTGAGGTTGATGTGTACAGCCGTGTCTGGCAATCCACTTGCTACCTTGAGTTGGTACAAGAATGATAAAAAGGTCATTAAATAATTACTCGATATTCTTTTTCATTTTCCTTTATTGCAGCCCTCGGTTGCTTTCCTTAAATATTTACAATCTTTTTAACCGCACATTTTCTGTTCCAGGTACCAGGAACCACCAGGACCCGAGACCATGCGGTTTCCAGCGAGCTGACGATACTCGTAAACGCTTCCGACAATAACGCTCGCATCAGATGCGAGGCAGCGAACTCGGCCACCCAAATTCCTCTGCGCAAAGTCCTCGTTCTAAAAGTGAACTGTAAGATCCAATGAAACGACTACGTTGATACTCTGTTCTCAGTTTTTCTGCTAAATTAATCCTTGATCGTTTGATGTATGGTTTAGAGTGGTTCGTTTTAAATCTAGGTCACGATTGACTTTTTCATCGTCGTCGAATGTTCGAGCCATTGAATTCCGTCGGATAATTTATTCCAACTTTTTCTGCTTCAGTTCCACCAGAAAAAGTGAAGATCACTCGTGAGCCACAAAATCTACACGCGGGCCAAGAGGGTCGTATTATTTGCGAATCGAGCAGCAGTAATCCAGCGGCAGAGATGTCATGGTGGAGGGGTGGCATCCCCGTACAGGGAACCAAAAACGGCACTAAACCCGGCTTACACGGTGGATTTCTGTCGTTCGTCGAGCTTGCGCTGGATGTGACGGAAGAAATGAACGGGGAAGTGTACACCTGTCAGGCGAGAAACAATCAAATGGAGAGGTCAATTCACGACGCCACCACCCTCGACGTGTTGTGTGAGTATACATACGAGCATCGACAATTGCTCAGAGGGATCTATGAAACATCCAATGGACGTTTTTCAATAAATATTTCATACCTTTTCCTCCTCTCATCCCCGAAGTCTGGCTGAGAATAAAATTTTCGAACCTAGCGCCATCGTTAAGTTGAAAGTTTTTTAATAAATTTCTTAAATATTCCATTTACAGACAAGCCGATATTCTTCCCGATAGTACCTTACGAATTAATTGGAATGGAAGGTGAACCATTCGTGATCTCTGTCTCCGCTAGGGGAAATCCTAATGATATTAAGTACACGTGGACCAGAGATGGTTTACCGTTGGTCAGCAACAATAGAAGGATATCCGTTCGTGGTTCTACGTTAAACATTACCAAACTGGACCGCCATGATGCTGGAACTTATATCTGTGAAGCGATTAACGAGGAGGGAACGACGTTTTATCAACTGAATTTAACTGTTCAATGTAAATACAAGAAATACCGCTGCGAAAATAAGAGAATAATAATTCCTTCTACCCGAACAATTGAACTTCATAAAGCGTATATCGTTCATCTTTCAGACGCGGCGAAAATTAAACGTACCTCGGCTTCGGGGATAGTATATCCTCCAGGAATCGAGGCGAAATTGTTCTGCGAAGTGGACGGTAGCCCCATAGGAGACGAGTACGTCACATGGCAGAAAGTTGGTTCGAACTCGGAGCTCTCCGGGCGATATTCCACCTCTTTTATCAACAAAACTTCCTATCTACACATCGAAAACCCTGATCAAGAAGACGTCGGAGAATATCAGTGCAAAGTTAACAATGGGATCGGTAACATTACCTCCGAGCCAATTCTATTCGTAACCAATTGTACGTATGTGCTTGTTAAATCAATATGGACCACCATTACCGCCATACACACCGTCACGTTCTATTCATTAAAATGTATTATTACATTACAGTTAAACCGCAAATGATGAATACACCGTTAACCAGGAGAGCAGCTGCTAACAAGGGTATAAACGTGCAACTATTTTGCAAAGCACGTGGTTCACCTTTGCCACGATTTACTTGGACCTTCGATGGGAAAACTTTGTTACCAAACGTCACCGAGCACAAATATGGCATTACGCATACCGATGTAAGCGTTCCCATCAAACCTTTTCTCGATTTATAGAATAAACTCTCGCTGTATAATTTCGAACTTACTCCATAATTACGTATGTATAATTTTCTAATCGTTATTACAGCTGAGCGAATTAATTTCTGAATCGTCGTTGACCATTTTCCGTGTGACGTCGCACGATTACGGTGAATACGAGTGTCGTGCATCGAATAAAATGGGCCAATCGACTGATACCATATATTTGGACGTGACGTCGCCACCAGACAAACCGACCGATCTCGAGGTTTATAATGTCACTCACGATTCCGTCACTCTAATGTGGAAGAGAGGATTCGACGGAGGCTTACCGACATCTTATCAAATACGATGGAGAGAAGCCCTCGACTACGAGGATCGGTATCACTACGTGGACGTGTCACCGGGAGTATATAAAACCACGATAACAGGGCTGTCACTGGGGACTTACTATGTGTTCAGTGTGAAAGCCATTAACGAGAAAGGAGACAGTGGTTTCCTACCCGACATTGTCAAAGTCGAAACGTTACGTAAGTTTTTTGAAATCCTTTGTTCAGAGTTCATTAACGATTCTGTGTGCTCGTAGTGATTGCTTTTCAGCTAGATAGTATCAGTCGCCATTTAGTTTTGCTGCTAACACGAATGAATAATAGCGATGTGTACCATTATTCCAACAATGGTACTAGTTGACTAACCACTTGAAAAATATTGTTTTTTTTTTTAATTAGATAATCGTTGAAAGTTATTTAACAGATAGGGGATATTTGGTTGTTGATTTGAATATTAATTATGGCTAATTTGATTTTAATATTAATCGTCAGCATGTAGAATGCTTATGATAGATTCGTGATACTGTAGGTATCATTTAATCTTTAGTAATATTTCTGAAATATCTCTGGCTTATATGTATAATTGCTTCTATAAATATTACAAGAATTTAATTAATTTACCAATTTAAAAGAATCAAGCGTACACGTTGAGCCAGATATGTTTCATAGTAAACATCCGCATCCCACATTACATTGACACTATACGAATGTTACGCTTAAATGATAGCATCGCGGTGTCTGTTCTATTAAAACGGTCATCTTTGTGAAGAAAATTACCCTCTCACCTAAAGTCGAATTAATTAAAAAAGTAAACACTAGTCTAAATGAGTACAGGCCAGATACATTATGTATAAACATGAAAACATAATTACACATATAATCGATAATCAATCAAAATGCCACCCCTTTGATTAACCGCTCTTATTATTGACCTACATTCAACGGTTTTGAGTGAAATAAAATTATTTGTTTAAAAAGTGTGTCGCAATGACCGTGTTGATAATAATTAATAAATCGTGCTAATTGTAACTAACAATGTAGAGTACCACTGCATGAATAACAAATCGGTGATGGGGCGTTGGCTTACAGGGGAGGCACCACCTACCGACGTGACATCCAGCGAGATTAATTCTTCCTACATCATCGTCATTATCATCACTGTTTCCGCCTCTGTATGCCTACTCATTGCTGCGCCCATAGTCTTTGCTACCTTAAAATCGAAAAAGAAGGCTCAACGTTCCGGTAAATATAATCATTCAATCATATATATTCTTTTTTTTCTGATTTATCCTGCAGGACCGAATAACGCTGAGAACCAGCCAGACGTTCTCTTGGAAAAGGGGGATTTTACAATGAATTATATCTATACGTTTGCAGCAACATCCCTCATCTTTTTTATCATTAATATCTTGGTCGTCGTGTTGTGGTACATTATGAGAAAACGAAATAAATCTAGTAAGTTAATTCAAGGAATTCTTTTTCCAAGACCATAGGCTTTACTTTACCCAAGAGTAAAAAATATATGATCAAATATCGAAGAAAATTGTTAACAGCTTGGATGTAACAAATATTTTATTCTATTAAGCATTATTTATTTCCTACTCTTTGATAAATGTTAACTCTTGAACGGTGATGCCGGGTGAAAAATTTCGAAAATCAGGCTCCAACTAAAATCGAAATGATAGCGAAGAATTAAATTATAGCTGTCTCATCGATCTACCGTCCAAGAATTAAAGAAGAAAACATATTCCAATGATACTGCATTTTTTCATTGCATCCCTTTGATTTTTTTGCGCAGGAATAAACAAATCGCAGACAGCTGATATGTACGCACCGTCGACCGTCAATGGAGACACCATGACCGGTGAATTAAGTTCAGTTTCGGACGAGAAGAGCGACGTTAACTTCGACACTAATGATTACGTGGTCAGTGCGATCAGTCAGTATGTTCTTAGTAACAAGTAAATGCCGGAGGGTAGGTTTGAGTTCTATTAACACATTTCTGTTTCATTCTACTTCCGTTTAGATTCCCTTTGCTTTTGTTACTTTTACTTCTTGTATCAAAGTCTCGTGGTTAGACTATTGTCTCATCTGTTTTACTTTCTTTTTTTTTTCGTTTTCGATAAACGATTCCCTCTGGAGCTTGATCAGTAGCACTTTATTCTTATTATTCATCAATAACTTACTTCATCTTTTGCAATACCCTTCAGTATAGATAGGTTTTGGGGGTAGATCTACCGAACTGTGCACGTAGAGGAAGATCAGGACCCTTTGTACAATCTTGAAAATCTGATTTATCAATCTTTGTTAGACGCTTGTAGAGTATTCTATTTTCTGATTTTCCTTTTTATACACTTATTAATTTTATTTTTATTATCGAGAACTCTGTATATGCATAGCTATGTTTGATACTCTTAGAGTTCTTTCAAATATTATTATCGTATAAAAAGTAACAATCTTCCTCTAAATATAACGAGATCTCTCGTAATGTATCAGAATGATGACATTAAATGTCGATGTACGGACTGTCGCTTCGATGATGCATGTGAAACTGGTAACATATGTACTTTCATACTGATACGCTACGAATGCTGGAAATACGAAACTCGCTGTATTATATGTACACGATCCGATAGAATGTTACATTAACGATTTTGATAGGCACGTTGCAGGTTTATCTGCTTTAAGTATATGTTGATTTAACAATACCATTTCTCTCTCTATGTAATCCAAATAGGACGAGGGTAGGAAGACAGCAGCCAGCACGTATTTAATTGATCAAACTATGCAAGATTTTGGGAAGGGGAACATGGAAATGCAGGTACATCATCAAGGAACCCTTGGTCGTCGTGGCAACCACATTCAACCACCTATGAGCATGGATTCACCGCCCCAACGAACTACCGCCAGTGGAACGCTTTCCGGTACATCTTTTTGTAACGGTATTTAATCATACATTTTTGAAACATGCCATTATTTCATGCGAAAACGAGATTCAGAAAAATGTCATATCGAAAAGATGACTGACTTTCCTTCGATGAAATTGCAGTTTCGAAATCAAGTTACATCGGAAACCCCAGTCCAGCCCCGCCGAACGACGTGAACTTCTACAGCGTGGAGATCGACAACGGGCGCTACATGGGGTACGAGACGAATCACAGCCCGATACCGGTGGTCAGCGAACCAGGTTCAGGCAGCTACTATCCATCCATGAGTCCCACGGGACACATCATGTCGAGTCACGTGAACAGCGGAACGGGAACACTGACGCGTAGCAGAACCCTGCCACGTCCAGTACCGCCGCCGGATGTGACAGTGATGACCGCCGGTTCGAAGTCGCCGATACCTCCGTCGGTACCACCGCCGCCAACCACCTTCGCACGTTCTGTGCCCAGCAACGCGCACACCCATGGTCATCCATTGTCAACCTTCACACCCACGCCAGCTTATTCCGATATCGACGGCCATCTTGTCTGAGGATCACCGATATTCGGCCCCAGTTCGGTGCGTGGTAAATATCGCGCCGTGCCGAGGGACGAGACTGTTACCGTTACAGAAAGAACCACCAGGCTCTAATCTCACCTCGAGGGTGACCTTGAACTTTTGAATCATCAGGCGTCACACTCGAGACACAATCAGCAAGGACTGAAAGAAAAAAAAATGAATTCGTTGCTGCTGCAGCAACAACGCTGCGTGAGTTTCGTGTGGGTGCTCCAACGACCTTCTCGTATATCCTCCTTGAACCCGAAAAGAAAGTAATGAAGCATGTAAGTAGAGTGAGAAACCGTGTACGCTGCGCATACATTCACGGTTTTCTAAAGTGATAATTTTAAGATGCACGCGGTACGTCGTTGCGATTTAGAATGCATTCCTTATTGCTCGTTTCGTTAGTTTTCAAGGACATATGGTAAATCATTTCGCATATCACGTGGTCGAGTTGAAGAAACGGTGAACAACTAGCTGGAATGAAAAGTCGGAAGATATCTTCGTGACACCAGTGATTCATTTTATTTTGTAGGTATTCGTTGTGCCGATTTCATACAGTGACACGTGAACTGATACGTACAGAGGTAAAGTATGAACTTACGAATACGTTCATTTACAATGTACAATAGGTATTTGATCCTGCTTCAATGATAATTCGAACAACGTCCTGCTGGCGGTACTAAAGTTTTTCATCCGGCTCGGCTAATTTTACGTCCTATTAGTAGGACTATTAATTGTATGAATTATCATTAAGCATTGACAGGACAAAGGTACTGATGGTTTCAAAGAAAAAGAAGATGTCTGTGAGATATCTTTCGATGGCAGCAACTCTTTTGAAAGTAAATCAAAGATTTAGTATATCCGTAGTATCATCGAAGTAACGCTGCTCTTTCAGTGTCACCGTGAAAATCGCATATTCGCGTGTTTCCTTCGTTCTTTCACGAATACGTACGACCGTCCATGGTTTCGTTTGAAAATTGGTTGAGGAAACATCGGTCTACCCCGATACTTGGCGGGCTATTGTTTGAAATTCTTGAAGGAAGCGAGACAATCGTTTTACACAGGGAAACAGTTGACGGAAGTTTGTAAACGGTAGTGAAATTCAACTGATTTCCTTCTTCCCTTACCATCTTGCTCATTACACGCGGCTGACTTTGTTGAATCGAACAGAGCGTTACTCGCAATGAACAGAAGCTAGCGTACGAAGAGCTGGATTATAGGTATTAAAAATATTAGGCAACGTTTAGATAAGAAAATTTCTAATGCACGAGACGTACAAGTGATTTCAGCTTTTATCCTCTTGAGCTTAATAAAATTTTAGCGAAATTCAGTTGTTAAGAATATCCAGGAACGACTGAAATTGCGATCAAAATTTTCGCGCTTCTCGTGGCGGGAAACTTTTGAGATCGCGAAAATACATAAACTTCCTTTTTCCGCGTCTTTTTATTTTGCAAATATGCATTTCAAACGTTTACGTAGAAAACAAAGTTTTCACTGCCGAATTCTAAAGTCAATACTACGAATAGTTTAATTGGTTACAATTATCGTGTAAAGAGACGCGTTCAAACGCCGTTACATCGTTGTTGCGCTCTTTGCATGAAATGGCCATCGCCATTCAAACTGTTATAACAAAATGAATGTTTTCGTTTGCCAATTGAGTGATTATCAAGTTTCGTTTATGGAACTCGATCGTACGGCAGAAAATATTAATGAAACCATGACAAAGGTTGGGAAAATATCTACAAGTTGAACAGTTTTCACGTGACAGTCAAACGCGCGTTGATTTAACAAATGATTTATCACGCAACGCGGTACTTTATGCAACTAATTTTACAAGAAACAAAAATTGTAAAGGATGCCAAATGTTTGCAAACGATGATGTTTGTGAAAAGAAAAAGAAGAATAGTTAGTAAGCGATCTTCTTTTTTAATATAACGTTACGATATATGAAAGATTTTTACTGCTTTCACTTCACTGCCTAATTTTGTATTTTCGTACCGCGATCGCGATACCTTTTTTTACAAGAATCGTTAACACGTGAAAGCCGTTGACTTATTACCGAGATCTCGCTAAAAATGACAGTTGCTTCGAGCCACTTATATTTCCTACTGAAAATATAAAAAATTTAATAAATATATACATAATATCGCAACGAAATGAAAAATTTGAAAGGGAAATGTAATCAACATAATCAGTGAAGTTTGTTAAAATAATTATAAACGAAAAGGATAGAAATGAAGGAAGTAAAAGTGAACGTCTTGGAGTAGTGATATCTTGAAAAAAGACAATAGTACATAAGTTTAATTATGCGAGTATGAGTTTAGTTAAGAGTAATCTATATTTCCCTGGCACAGCCAAGTTAGAAGTTGCATTTGCATAAGAACGATCTTTATGCAAAACGATAAGACAGAAAAACGTAGTTCAACTAAATGTTTATACATATATATTTTTGCAATTTATTTCGATTGAATTGATTATCCTTGTATATAGTGCGATATGTCTCAGCGTTTCATACACGTACACGTACACGTACACGTAAACACACACACTTCAGAAACAAAAACAAAAAAGGGAAAAAAAGAAGAAAAAAGAAGTAATTAAAAAATGGATCATATGAGGGTCTCACTTTACCTAAGCTATAATAAAGTATTTGTATAGGGTTATTATGCTAGGCCACGTATTGTAATCTGAGAAACATTATTCCAGTTATCGGACGAGACAACGTCTTTCCGTTTACCGAAAGCCTAAGTAGTCGACATATATTTTTGAAAAGAAAGCAGAGAAAATGAAAAAGAGATAGAAAATGATCGCATAATCGTTTGGCCTATCGTAAGGGAGAGACAACACATGATTATTAGGGATGGGATCCAAGTAGATATTATTACAAACAGGTTCGAATTCTTCAAGTACAGTACCGAGCATAGTAAATTTACTTAAGGAAAATTTCCTTCTCGATACTGTACACATCATAGAATTTTTCTGCATATAGAATTCTAATTGCATAGGTAAATGAAAATTTTTCATTCTAAAATTGACTTAAATTCATAAATACTTGATCCCATCCCTAAAACGCGTCATCAGCAGCGAAAAACTCATAGTATCAGTCGACAAACGTGTAAATTTCATTCAATTTCCATGAAGATCGTACAATCAATACGCGTCCAATCTAAATTCCTTCTTTTACTGGAAAACGAACTGTCGTTCCACTTCTAATTTGGCTCGCGTATTGTACGACTATAATTTAAGGAACACGTAAATTAGTAAGATTGCTCAAAATATACATGAATATTTTTCGAGCAATCGTACTTGTATGGTAAGAATCTCGAGCTAATCGTATCATACTCTATTTTCGCCTCTTCATTTTCCCACGGTGCGATTCGCGGAGGACGTTTACGATAGAGCCTCTATCATTTCTCTGTTATCAGAAAATTAAAAAAAGACACGTAACAGAAGGAGGAAAGAGATGAAGTTACACGTGACGATATAAAAAAAAAAAGGAACTCAGAAGCGTATGCACACGAAATTGATATTGTATACTTTCCGCACCGTTGTCATGTGTGTTTTATGCTTGAGAAACTGTTTGAAAGTTTTACGGATATTCAAGTTTTTCGTAGCATGCGCTATTGTTATTTCATTAAGGGAGGAGAAGGAGGAGGAGGAGAAGGTGGAAGTGTAGAAGACGAAGAAGGAGGTGGACACTGATTTGTTACGGTAGATTCTACGAAAGCTTAAATAATTAAAAAAAAAAAAAATAACGTGTATTGTTAACCGCTGCTGTTGTGTATGGAGCCGCACAGTTCGGCTTAGACTGATGATAAAAAAAAAAATTCACGTATGCTCAATTAGAGAACATGTTTGCGCATAATTAAGAATTCTATTTACATATACATGTTTTATATTTGTAATTAACGAAAAATCATCTAATACTTAATATTACCTGATATTAAATTAGATTATGTAATCTCCAAAGTATTTGCTCATCAAAGTGCTAGGCATGTTAGACGGACCGATATTTCGTCCAAAATGGTACCTTGGAGATGGACATACCATCTAACAGTACGATATTTGATATTTTACACAATAATTAATAATTCCGTTGATTATTCTAAGACATAGTCAATCCTAATTATACAATCATTAAGGTACGAGGATATAAATTAACCGTTTTACATGTATATACTGTACATATACGAAACTTAGATAGACAAGATGATGATGATGATGATGAAAGAGGGGGAAGATGAAAAAAAAAGAATTCAAATGCATAACGAATTATATATCAAATTAAGAAAATACGATCGAGAGCTTTCGTAAAATAGGTACTAAAAATGTTCGTATCAATTTTGATGGTTTTTCTTGGTAATCATTTTTTTCTATTCTTTTAAACACGAAGAGAAAATGATTCTCACCGAGCGACGTCGGCCTTTTTTTTTTGAAAGGGGAACGACATAAAATTGCCCACGAAACTTGCGTATTTATATTGTATAAATCGCCGAAAGTGACGTAACGAATTTTATCGTAACGAACTTATCCGTTCCAAAATTACCATTTCCACAAGAGGCGAAGACTGGTAAACACCGAGCCGTTCATAAATGGTGTTCGAACGACTCGATTTTTCTATTGAATTTCGATTTCTTGTTCGATAGAGTTAAAAAACAAAAGAAACACGAGAATACTTTGATCTCCGATACAATCGTTGCGTTTCATCATTTGTAAAAGCGCTAAGAAGCTCTCGAAAGTAGTCGATTTTAAAGAACTACATACACATATATATTTTTTAAATACTCGGCAACTATCAAACGAATGGCAAAATCATTGATATTCACATTTAATTTAAACTTTATATTATTTAAAAACAAAAGCAACGCGAGATTGGAACAGAAATAATAATGAAATGTTAATTTAATGAAGGGATATCTTGCTCCAATTGAGCGATGCAAAAATAAATGATATATCGTTAATTGTTAAGCGTATCATCGGATATATGTTTGCTTCCGTTTGTGTGCCAACAAAAATAAAAATAAAAAATCGACATTCTTGGTGTATAAAATATATGAAACGTAGCGAGACGATGTTATTGTTACGCGGGTACTTTATTTCGATCAGAATTTATAAAACGAAATGTAATTGTTTGGAGCAATCGTCGCTGTTCGTAAGTACAACCGATAATGAACAACTGAAAAATGAAAAAAAAAAAGAAAAAAGAAAATAATATACTGATGAAAACGGTAGAGAAACTCTCCGATGATAAAGACAGAGACAACCGTGTAATATAAACTAAGGATACCAAGCGATTGGTATTACATTAATTACTTGTATATATACATAGTATTTTTACATTCTAATTCTAAATTACATTTCCAATTCTAAATGGTATACATTTACTCTGTGAGCTTCGCTTGTCGTCTGTGTAAATCGTTGATGACGATTATGGACGTGAATTACAATTTTGGAAACACGAGTTCCAGCCGGTGAAGCGTTTTAAATGGCGATGATTATCGTATACATCCCATCCTTTGTGCTCATTTCACTGCACGTTTTTGCACAAGTCTCAATAACACACGCCTCGTGCCTTCATCGCACCTTAAATTTAATAGAAACACATGCAACATTATGGTCACACGAAGTGTCTTTAAACGCAACTATAGTACATTCTATTATATATTTGTCCTGATATTTTGCTATAATTGGAAAAATTAACATATTAACTATACCATCTTACAAGGAGAACACAATTTATCATTTATTAAATAATCAATCATTCATAGAATGTTTGGACCAATTCTCTCCTTGTCTTTTAATTACATTTCAAAAATTGTTCAATCTGAAAAATTGTCCACCCTTCATATGATAGAATTTCTAATATCTCGCTAATAGTTTCGTGGAAACATACATCGTGCGACTGTATGGAATATTCATACGCGTAATTAAACTTCTACTAAAAAAAAAAAAAAAACAACTGTGCTCATAGCATATGTGATCGTATTTCTCGTGTAACTTAGCGAAAGAACAACCCTTCACATTCTAATTGTAATTAAACACGATAATCGCCCTTGATGCTTCCGACGCGTTGATTTCTAACAAAAAGAGAAAACGGAATTATATTTCCTTTATTCGTTTCTATTTTACACATAAAGACAGAGCGAAGCTCAACGTACTAGTCCTTACTTTAAAACCAAAGTAAAGAGAAGAAGAAAAAAAAAACACATTGTCTAGCTTTTAAGAATCTCCATTACGTATTCACACCTGTGTGTCTATACAAAAGACATAATTATAATTAACTAATTCAATCATCGTAATTAGGTAAACGACTAACGGATAAGCGAATAGATAATGAAATGAAAATGAAGGGATAAGCCACCTCGTTAAGTGTATCGTTTTTATTTTAATTCATTTTTACTACACGATTAACAACATTTTATCTAGCAACTTACGTCGGCTAGGAATGTAAATTCTGTATCTGTACATTGTTTTCCTATTTCAACTATTAAAAAGTGACCGTCAACTATATATTCCACCACTTGTTACTTTCCCGTAACAATATTTTCATTTTATGAAACTTTCGTTGTTATTAGAGATATGCAAAAATTGTTACTCTTTGAATTTGACTTCCTTCATTTGCTAATATAGCAAAATATTCTTTTGCATATCCCTAATATGTTGTTAGTCAAATCTAAGGAAGAACAAAACCATAATTATTTGTAAAAAAAGCTATGTATTTATTTTAACCTGTATTGACCGTTTCACATCGTAAACACAATAGATAGATCTATTTGTATAATAGGAGTAAAATTAGGTGAATATTAACAGGTAGTCTCAATAGGAATAAATTTCGTCCGAATCGGATGGGCCGGGCGTATAACCAGGTCCGTGGTAATGGTAATATCCTTTAAATAGTCTACAGGCTCCAGATAAAAATTGTGTAAAAGAAGTCCTATTGTCGCTTTTAGTTCCAACATAGCAAATCGTTGTCCTACGAATTAAACATTAATTATTAACGCGTTCGTTACGGATACTATAGATCCGAAATTATTGAAGATACAGGGTGTTTAGAATACTAGGGGTGGGTACCCTTTGAGGGGATGGTAGCTGAGGTGATTCTGAACAACTTTTCCCTTTACCAAAATGCTTGTTAAAGCTTAGTTTTCGAGTTATTAATTAAAAACACCGAGCAATCAAAGCGCGCCTAGTGCGCATGCGCGGTCGTAGTAGTGCCGGTTACGAACCGACGCGACGCGCCTAGTAGTTTGTTCGCGACCGCGGTCGAGGTTGGTTCGTAGCCGACGCTCACGCGACTCAGATCGCACGCTCTAATTTCTCAGTGTTATTAATTAATAATTCTAGTGTTAATTAATATTAATAATATTACTAGCGTGTCCGTAAATAAAATCTGTATAAATAAAACCTTACCTATACAATTTCGTGGACCAGCGCTAAAAGGTACATAAGAGTAAGGATGTCGTCCATGCATATTTTCTGGCAGAAATCTATCTGGATCAAACACATCTGGATTTGGCCAATATTTTGGATCCCTATGAACATCGGCAATATGCAAATGGACTATGGTTTTGGCAGGTACGACATAATTACCTGTAAAATACATTATCGGCATCAAAAATACATAATTCTACGGAATTATATATTTTTTATGCTTAGTTATAGTTACTTAGTTTCGTGTCCATTTCCGGTGCGCGGGATATGAAAGGTACACTTGGATAAAGTCGTAGAGACTCTTTGATACACCTTTCCAAATATGAAAGATTCTGAAGAGCGGACATTGTCATTTTCCCTTCGTTTTCTTCCATAACTCGATTCACTTCGATCCTAGCACGTTCCTGGAAACAATGATTTCTTTTTTAATTTTGATTTTAGATCGAAGAAATTTTTTTTTTAATGAAATGTTTGACAAATTTTCAAATGTTTTCTTTGTTAATTCTTTTAAAGTTAATCACCTGTATCTCTTTATGTTCAGCAAGAAGCAATATAGTAAAGCAAATACTCATCGCTGTGGTATCGTGTCCCTGTAACAAAAAACAATCTCCCTGATATGTCAAATATAATTTTGTTTAACAATAAGAAAAGAATAATGATAAAACGTACCCTAAACATAAACGTATCTACTTCTTCCCGGATACCTTCATCGTCTATTTGATTGTTTCGATGCGCTGCTATCAAAAGATCAAGCATAGCGAGTCTTCTTTTATGAACTGTAGAAACATTTTATTTTTTTAATATTTTTCATTAAATTTCACTAAAGTGAAAAAGAATCATATGTTACATACTTCCCATGTCTTTTTGTCCGCTTGAGTCATCATCAAATCCAGATAAATATCTACCATCAGTCTGATCGTGATATTCTTTTCGTTCTCGAATAATCTAAATTATATTATATTTTACAAATGTCGTTGATAATTTAGATTTATTTAGTTTTTATTTATATCCTTACCTGCTTCGTGAATCCATGCAATATTTTTAGTAGTCTACATTGTTCCCATCCCTTGGGAACACATGCAAGGAGAAATTCATAATGTAACCAGGGCCTTACAAGTCTATGAGAGGAATTCAGATTATAAATATTTTTCACATTAGTGTAATTTTACAATTTTCAAAATTATTTACCTGTACACCTGAATTTGTCCCATATCGTACACAGCTTTCCGGTACTTGTACTGAAATACCCCTTTGTCTTTTAACGAAGTTCCCATCGAAGTTTCTGTAAAAGATATATGTCTTATCATTTTCAACTGAATATCACTGAATGTATGCGTTAAAATTGCTCGTTAATTTACCACATATGACGTTTAGAGTATGTTCGCTAATGATAGGCAGTAAATCCTTGACCACAGGACCCTGTTCGCTCTTTAGTATCTTAATCATACGCTCTGATTCTTCGATAAAAACGTCAACAAATTGTCGTAGTACATTGAAATGAAACGCAGGAGTCAATATTTTTCTTCGCAAATGCCATTTGCGGCCTGAAAAATAAATATTCTGATTTTTAAAATCGTATTGTTTATTGCCTCATTGTTAATGCGTATCTTCATTCTTGTTGTTTATTTCGGTAATCGCCTCGGTGGAAGTTTTCATTAAAGTTAAGCGGAAAAATAAGATAACTCTATAAATAGGAAACAACAAAGATATGATACCTGAACTGGTGAGAAGACCAGTGCCGAACCAAGGTTTCAAAAGATCGTAGACGGTACTTTTCTGAATGGATTTTGGATTTCCAAGAATTGTCTATATACGAGGGAAAATAATTTTGATTAAACTTAATATTCGCATTTTTTAAATCCTTCTAATTGTTACTAATTACCTCAATATCATTCGGGTGACGAATATTAAGGAATGGCATTGTAAAACTCCATAGTCTATAGATTGGATAATATTGATTACTCATTTTGCGCATAATTTTCCAAAGATCGTCTGTAATTGAAATTATGAATATTACTTGGAAATCGGGAAAAATGAAAAATTGTTACTGAAGTTATTAATTTCTTGCTTATCTTACGTGACGAAACCTGAAGGGTGAGCAAATTGCCAAAAATTGGAATTGCCTGAGGGCCCGGTATCGAATTCATCATCCTTCCCAGTTTCCCATAATGTAGGGTAAAAAAGTGCACAATAACTCCAAGTAACACAAGAAGTAATATCACAACGATCATTTTCAAAAATTATCCACTTTCAATAATTTTATTTCTTCAAGATACACTTTTTACATTTATTTACTTTCCATCAAGAAAACCTTGTCAATTTTATCGATGATATTTATTCGCATTATTAACAAACACTTTGTGTAGATCTCTCCTTTTTTAATTGACCCTTAAACACAACATTTACTCGTCTCTGTTACGATTTTTAAATCATTAAACAAATGTCGAGTGTTTATAGCTGCCTATCTTGTATAGTACTACTGAACCAGCAGCTCCGCTTCAAATTCAAGTTATACAGAAGCATATCGCGCAAAATGCAACGATGAGTCTGATAGAAGTTTTTGTGCCATCGTGACGTGTAATTGATAGGAATTACAGAAATAAAACACTTTCGCTGGTAAACACCACAGTGATAAAAGGAATTTCAGAAAGTTTATGTTGTAATCTTTTATTTCCGAGGATTAATAATATTACAATTTGTATTATTTTTTATTTAATCAATGCTACAAATGATGAAATTTCAAAATTTTCAGAGTTCGTAATACATTTCAAATTGATAACAATATTAATATCAAATTGTTAATTGATAACAATAATACATTGGTAATAATGTTTTATCTTTGGAAATTTTAATAACTGTTTATCATCATATTAAACTGACCTGATGTTCGCATGAACTTTGTTTCCTATAACGATTCCTATTTTTTTAATAATAATAATTTATATTAACGATACTTTTCCTTGTGATTATCTCTTCTCATTTTAATCAGTCTTGCCTTCTTTTACTATCATAATATAAATTATACAAATTAGATAAAAATAGAATTGTAAAATCAGTTATCAGTATTCTAATTAAAATGTTCCAGTAGATATATCAAAATTGTCGCATTTAAAACAATTATGTCGCTTTATTTATTAAACATTCTTATCTAAAACTTTAGTATTATTAAATATTGTTATATTTTATCCTCGCTTTTCATTATTTATAGCTAATTATTTTTAATTTTAATCAACTGTTTCATTTACTAACGCAGAAAATGAATTAAACGTGTTCGTGTACCCATTTGAAATTGGCGCCTAACTCTCCTATAAATAAGTAGCGCTCCGGTGGTGGGAAGCAGTAGCTCTTTGAGCGTCGACACGAACGTATCTACCTATGTAACCTTATTCTTTGATTATAACGTGAATACATATTCGTATTTTCTTTTCGGAAATGACGTAATTAATAATATCTTAAGGTTGGTAATGGAATGTCACTTTTTTCTCTGAAATTTTTAAACTTACTGTAAAATAAAATGCGATATATCAACAATATAAGGAAAAGGTTCAGTAGTGAACAATGAAGAACTTTCAAATTTAATTGAATTTTTTTATTAAGAACTTGTTTGTACATACTTAAATAATTAAAACAATTACAAATTGCGAATGTTATATAAAATAAGCGATAAATATTAATTGACTATATTATAAGCAATGACAGGATAGCAAACTTAAATTAGGCGCTCCAGTATATAGCAAATAGGTTATGCCCGTAGAACACGTCACTCTCGTTTCATCATAATTCGTGTCGTAAGTTTCAGTGAGGAGCTTTAACGAAATTTCAGTAATATATTCGTTTACTATGGTAAAAGTTTAGTATTGCAAGGGGATATGATTATTTCGAATATCGAGATCATATGCGATTCATTTTCATTCGGTACTTTTAAATAAGAGTTGGTGTGCGTGACCAATTTTGCCAACTATTTCCGGAATAATACGTTTTCCTTGAGGTGACGTTTGCTATTATTGTCTGTAAGGTGTGTTAACGGCATTGTTGTAAACGTCGTCATACTTTTAAGATTCTGAGAATCTTAATTTCTTGTGCGATACGTATCGCCAAAAGAGATACAGTGATACGTATATAGTTTGAAAATTTTCCAATTAAAAGGGTATTTAGTTCGAACAATTGAAACCACGTCAGTGTCTTCCCAAACAAAATGGGCCTAACAATCAGTAGCTTACTTACCCGGCTCTTTGGTAAAAAGCAAATGAGAATATTAATGGTAGGTTTGGATGCTGCTGGAAAAACTACAATATTGTACAAATTGAAGCTTGGTGAAATTGTCACAACAATACCTACCATAGGATTCAATGTTGAAACTGTTGAATACAGAAATATATGCTTCACGGTGTGGGATGTCGGTGGTCAGGATAAAATCAGACCACTCTGGAGACATTACTTCCAAAACACACAAGGCCTCATTTATGTTGTTGACAGTAATGACCGTGAACGTATCGCTGAGGCGGAACGTGAATTAGCAAACATGTTGAAAGAAGATGAACTGAGAGATGCAGTTCTCTTAGTATTTGCTAATAAACAGGACTTACCAAATGCTATGTCAGCAGCTGAACTTACAGATAAATTAGGACTTAATTCATTACGTGGCCGTCATTGGTATATTCAAAGCACCTGTGCTACTCAAGGACACGGATTATATGAAGGACTTGATTGGTTGAGTAATGAACTGGCTAAAAAGTGATAAAGCATTGTCGTTATTCATTATCTTCATGAACAGTTTAATCATTGAGCATGGATGTAGAAGACAGGTTGCAGTTTCCGTTTTGTCAGATTACGCACTATGTGTACATGTTTAATACCACTGTGATTGTAATTTCTAAGATAAAAATTGCTTGAAATAACAGAATATAACATGACCGACTCAATTGTCATGATGCTTACACAGGTTTCATTTTTAAAGTGACATTTTTCAAAAAAGATAAAACAGAAAAATGGAAAAGATAAAAATAAAGTAAGTCTATTAATTAGATGAGTGTGTATATTTACCAGTTATATATTATTTGTATGTGACATATAATTCCAATTGAAAAAGTTATAAGTTTACTTAAAGGTGTATCTTCAATTTAAAATAAAACATGGAATATTTCTACATTAATTTTAATATATATTTTCTCCTTATTTTGCAAGAAAGTATAAACAAATTTTATACTTCTATGGACTTTACTCTGCATCTATGCAACAATAAATTATAAAAATGAAAGTTTGAAAAACTTACCTTTTCCCTGGTTTATAATTTCTTTTTTAATATGATACTTGTAATATACCATATGCTTATAAATTAAAACAATTTAGTAATAAAGATACATGGATTAAACTGTAAACTTCTATCATAACACTTTCTTCTTTTCTAATAAAATTTTGAAAGTGTATAATGAGGAGATGTAAAGACAATTACATTTTGTAATCTTATTGGATAACTCAAAGTAATAATTTTATTATAGTACAAAACAGTACATTATCAATATATGCACTGTATAGTGTATAATGTATCAAATAATTTGTTAATATGCAGTGTTATTTTTGTATGCACCATAAAATTCTATTCCTCTTCTACTCCATAAAAGACAATTAATAAATTATAGAAATGTTTTCTACTTATGAGTAATATAATATATATATATGTATATATATACACAATAGTTTTAACATATGACAGAATAGAGCATTGATTTAAAACATTTTAATATGAATATCTTATTTATATGTGTCAAGTGTTAAATTTGTTTAAATTAATTTACACAAAAATTTGTTATTATACATTGAATTATTGACTTTGTTTGCTATATGCATTTCGCAAAATTATTAGTACAACCATTTGATAACAAATTTTTTTTTTTTATTTTAGGCAGCAATCACACAAGTCATTGAACAAACACCAAGTAAAACATGGTAATTTGTTCAAACTAAATTTTAATACTAGTAACTGACCACTGGAATATGTACCGTGTCTTCTGTCAGTAATGTTTAAATTAACTGATTATTTTACATTGATGCCAACCACAAAAATATTTGTTCAGCATATTTCCTTTATTGGTAGCTTACAGAGTCTGGGCAGAATTTGTAGTTATTAATTAAAGAAAGAGATCTATACTCATTTACGTACCCAAGAATTCTTTTGGGGCGGAACATTACTTTTACCCAAGGCTGGAAAATGATTTTCTAATGTATGACTAGCCATATGCGTTCGAAAATCGGAATTTTTCAATACTTGACCGCATGTCGCACAAATTTCTAAACCTCTTATCTTGTTGCCATTCTCCTTTTTATGAATTTTAAACAGTTCTTGCTGCTTTTCGATATCAGGTAACAGAACTAATAGTTCTGGAAATACGTCCTCGAAAGCACTGAGACCCATTGCCTCACGGCAACGCGTGTAATAATCTTGAGCGTTACACGTACCTTGCCGAAACAAGCCGCTTATGTATCGGAATTCCTCGATTTGATCGTGTTGCATTAAAACTTCGTTAACATTAGCTACCAGACATTTATTTCTTTTCTGAAAATCCAGCGGGGGTACGTAATTATACGCACTGTTGTGCTTACTATTATCCGGCAAGATTGAATAACTCTCTCCAGAACTGTTTGTAAATGTCAATCCATTACTGCTGTTCAATTTATCCATGCTGTTGTACTTTATGCAAAAACCAGGAGGCGGAGGAGTTGTCGTACCAAAGCCAGGCGGTGGATTTGTAAACCCAGGTGGCTTAGAACTACTTCCACTTAAAGCTGGAAATTCTTCTAAATGACGAACATTTCTGTTTGTTGAGTTTAAACTATCTATCTTTAATTCTGTACGTTTTCTCTGTACTCCATTGGAAGTATTATTATCAGTATATGTATTTACAACTGTTTCGTTATCCACGTTTTTATGTTTCTTCTTATCCTTTTTATTAGTTTGTTCTATCTCCTTCGAAGATTGTACATTCATATTTTTTGATGTATTTACATTGTTGCTCATGTTATCTGTATTTTGCATTAATTGCGAACTTGACTGTACAGCATCAATGGCATTTTTACTGTTCGCACACGCATTTTTCAACGTCTCGCATTCTTTCTTGACTACAACGGTACTTACATTTGTTCTTGAACTGGTAGTATCGTTTCCATTAACAGTATTATTGTTACAATTTTGTTTAACCTTTTTCTTTTTCGTTTTTCCTTTCGTTATGTCGGTAGTCGTTTTTACATTGTTACTGTTATTAGAACTCTGCGGCTGACTCCACGAAGGTACTACAGTAATTGTCGATTGCTTCTTTGATTTAGACGATTTTGATAACGTAGGAAAATCTGCCCCAGATTGAATTGGTGGCGGAGAGGGTACTAATGGCGGTGACGCAACCTTTTTAGGTTTCGGTACAGATGTTGAGGCTGATTTAGAAGAACAGGTCCATTGTAGAACTTCTTTCCAATGAGCCAAGTTAGTATTACAACTGGTCGATGGTTCTGCTGAACCCAACGCAGGAAAATCAGATTCCATTGATAGTTGAGCAGGACGAATTCTAATATTAGGACCCGAAACCTTTGTAGTAACAGTCCCGTTTGGTTCATGATTTACTTGAATAGACACATTGGAAGTTGTACCCTTCTGGGTTTGCGTACCCGATCCTGAAGAATTACCGCTCGATACACTGAAGTTGACGGTTTTAGATATACTTGTACTTCCTGATTCCGGTCCCAATGCAGGGAAATTTTCGTCTGTAACAGCGAGTGGCTGAGGTCTTATTGTACTACGAATCGTTACGTTACCTCTACCTTTACTCTGACTTAAGGTAGGTACAACAGGTGTAGCGTTACCCAATGTTGGAAACTCCTCGGTACTTTGTACATCCACAGATGGTTGTTGCACAAAAGTAGGTTCGTTGTTTGACACAAATACATTCGAAGTATTTGGTGTTACAGTTTGTTGATATTCCCTGAGATTATAATCTCTCCCACCATAATCTCTTCCGCCATAATCTCTTCCACCGTAATCTCTTCCACCGTAATCTCTTCCACCGTAATCTCTTGAACTTCTGGAAGTTGATGCGCCTAACATTCCTCTTCTGTTCATCCGATTTTCACCACGTGGAGCTAGCGTGAATTCTAGCTCCAATGTTCTCGCTTGCTTAGCAGCAGCCTTGCTCAGCTGCTTACTATGAATACTTGCCTTATGCGCTTTAAGATCGATGTCAGTTCTAAAAACACTCGTAAATTTTTCCTCCGCGCACATTCCCTCTTCGCATAGAAAATGTTCTTGCCTGAAATGATCTCTGAGGTAATCGTAAGAGCTATAATATTGATGTAAACCATCCGCGTCACAAAAATGACAATATAAATGATCTCGTCTTAAGTGTCGAAACAACTCGTCGTTGTCCATATAACGTTGATCACAAAATTCACACAGTGGATGACCTTTATGACTTTTGTCATCCACATCTCCTTTCCTTCTATGTTGGGCAAGATCAGACCTGGTATAACAACGCCTTTCATGGGAAAATATCTATCATAAAAAGAAATATATTTTTTGAAAATCACACAACAAACAGTTATAGAGATTGTCTAAATAATATTAACATACCTTTAAATTTTCCACACAGAGATCACAATAATGCAGTTCATGTTGATGTCTCATATGATCTTTTAAACTGTTAAAATTATTAAACACTGCTTTTTCTTTACAAATATTGCAATTATTAGCCAATAAATCATAAAATTTACTTTGAATGTCAGGTGTATCGAAATAGATATTATATCTTGTGTCAAACAAGTTGCCTTTATGTAAGTGACGAAAGGGTTTGATCTCCTTTGTAAATACAACTTTTGGTAAATCTTGACGGCATATGGGGCACTCATTCTGACAGCAAAGTACCCTCATTCTAGTACTACATTCGTAACACACAGGATGTTCACACATACCAATACTATAAATATCAACATTTTTGTAACACACAACACAGGTGTTGTTATTAGTACTTTCATTGCTACCAGACATTCTTTGTATGAAAATTTTTCTTGAGAATACTAAGTTCTATTAATACACACTCTGGTCACAGAATGTAATGAATTCCAATTTTGTTTATCTCCAATGAATTCCAATCTCCGATTTCGATAAAATAAATTATGCTATTTTATACAACGTCGTACGCAATCCTGTAACAAAATTGTTGTTTCAATTTCGTGATATATTTATCCTATACGAATATAATCTTAAACAGTTACAATTGAACTATACAAATTGCATAGCAAACGTAGATCAATTACTAAGGAAACTTTTTATTTAAATACTTATAAAGTATCACATGAACATATCAAATTATCTTGTTACAATTTTTCTTGTTTAGTTAGTAAAATAAAGATGAACGTATTCTGATACTTCACAATCGCTAGATTCTATTCCATAGAAGGAATATTTTTCGAACAAGGAACTGTTTATGTTTTAAATACAGTCTACATTGAAAGTGTTTCTTCATGAATGAATGAAACTAGTTTTTCGAAAATTAGAGAGGAAAATTGACAATACCCTCTGGAAAATATTCCAGCAAGCAGATGGTAAAATCTCACAGGATGTCCCTGAAAGAAAAAGGTTATCACGATTTATAATTCTAGCACAGACGAAATGCATATATGATAGATTCACTACTTTATGTGAGATCGTGTCATACAATCTGAATTACCGACATTATCTAAATCTTATTGTTAGTGACTACAGATACAAAAAGACTGGACATGCCTTTGTTCTCGTGGGGTCTCGATTTTGGGGATTCCAGACACCCCTGAGTTAAGCTAGATAGAAGTTTTAATAAAGGTAGGTGATATTAGAAAAGATTCTAACAAGAATAGTAGAAGTTAGCATAATATACATGTATGTACAGAGCACAGTTAATATGACAGTCGTGCCTATTTTAGCAATCCCTCTTCTATCATGCCTCGCACTCACAACTAAAAAGACACAATTTTAACTCTCTTCGATTCAAATTTTTAGAAATCAGTCAAAATCAGCACAAGTCTGAAAAGTTATTAAAATAATCGTTTGACAAACTTATATTTTAAACAGACCGCCATAAATTAAGTATTTTTAAAATTCCGACCGTAGCGCCATCTCTACGAAAACGGCGGAAACTATTCAACAACTTACCAACTAGACTTTTGAACACCAGCGCCGCCTATCGAGAGAGAGCGGAAACTACTTATCGACTTACCATCTAATAGTCGGTAACTGATAAGTAGTTTCCACTATTTCCCGATAGAAAGCGCTAGTGTTCTCCAAAAACCTAGTCGGTAATTTGTTGAGTAGTTTCCGCCGTTTTCGTAAAGCTACGGGGTCCCTGAAACCCCATGCCATAATGTCGGTATGCAAAGAGTATCATCCGTGCTTCGGGGTCGCTGACACCCCAAGATGATATTAGATCGGTGCACAGAAAGAGTCACAGGGGTCTTTGACACCCCAAGATGATATATTAGGTTGGTACGCAGAAAGAGTCAACGGGATCCCTGACACCCCAAGAGGTACTTTATCGGCACGCCGAAAAAGTCAACGGGGTCCCTGACACCCCAAGAGGTACTTTGTCGGCACGCTGAAACGGTCAACGGGGTCCCTGACACCCCAAGAGGTACTTTGTCGGCACGCAGAAAGAGTCAACGGGGTCCCTGACACCCCAAGGGTACTTTTGTCGGCACGCTGAAACGGTCAACGGGGTCCCTGATACCCCAAGAGCTACTTTGTCGGCACGCTGAAACGGTCAACGGGGTCCCTGACACCCCAAGAGGTACTTTGTCGGCACGCCGAAAGAGTCAACGGGGTCCCTGACACCCCAAGATGATATCAGGTCTGTATCTACCCCCTGTGGCTGGGGGGCTTAGAATACAGCCTCGGCATCCCCTGCCTGTCGTAAAAGGCGACTAAAAGGGGGACGTAATAGAGCGGGCAAGGCAGTATGATGTAAAAGTACCTGTAAACGAATGAAATAATTGTAACGTCGATGATGAGAAACAGAATCAATCAGGTCTGTATGTAGAGAGCGCCACCGATGCATTGGGGCCCCGAATGTATATAAATGGATACTTTAGCTTAAGGTTATGCACGTGTATACGTTTAACAATTGATTCAATATTTAAGGAAATATGGTTAAAATATATGCATAAATTATAATATCGAAACCACTTTAAGAAACCTTTTGTAATATTTAATTGTGCATACAAAAACAAAGGTATTTGTAATTTTAAATACAATTTAATTGAACTAATTTTACTTCAGATAGTGAAACTTACAACACTAAGATAAATGTTACTGATATTTTTAATTATAAATATTAATATAAAATTAACTGTGCTCTTTTAGACAAAATGGCAAAATCACGAGTTACATCGAAACCTCCTCGAAAGGAGGGATTCAATCGTTCAGGGCATAGTATGAATCCTGAACGACCCACAGAAGGATTAAAAGGTGTAGCTAAAGTTCGAACTAAAGCAACAATCAAAAGGTTGCAAATGTATCGTAATCAAAAACCGAAACGTGACCGCACAGGTAAAATAATTAGTCCAGCACCATTCCAAGGCTGGCAACCATCTGGTACTATGTCTCGTGTAGAACCTTCACAAAGATGGTTCGGTAATTCGAGAGTAATTTCTCAAAATGCTTTACAAAAATTTCAAGATGAATTAGGGAAAGCTATGAAGGATCCATATAATGTTATTATGAAACCTACTCAGATGCCAATAACTCTGCTTCAACAGAAAGCTGCAAATGCAAGAGTGCATTTATTAGATACAGAAAGTTTTGAAAGTGTGTTTGGTCCAAAAAAATTAAGGAAAAAACCAAATTTACCAATATCTTCATATGATGAACTACAAAAATTAGCAGAGCAAAAGGAAGAAACATACAACATAGAAAAAGATTCTAAAGATCTTGATCTTGTAAGACCAGATACAGGTGTAAAAGATATGCAGAGGGACTGGATCATGTCAGCAGGACAAAGCAAAAGAATTTGGAATGAATTATATAAAGTTATAGATTCCTCTGATGTTGTTTTACAAGTATTGGATGCTAGGGATCCTATAGGTACTAGATCTCCACCCATAGAGAAATATTTGAAAACAGAGAAGCCTCACAAACATTTAATGTTCATTTTAAATAAGGTAGATCTTGTTCCAACATGGGTTACACAAAGATGGGTTGCAATTTTAAGTTCAGAATATCCAACAGTAGCATTTCATGCCTCAATGACACATCCATTTGGTAAAGGTTCTTTAATTAATTTATTACGTCAATTTGCAAAATTACATATGGATAAGAAACAAATCAGTGTAGGCTTTATAGGATATCCTAATACCGGGAAAAGTTCAGTTATAAATACTTTAAGATCGAAAAAAGTATGTAAAGTTGCACCAATCGCGGGTGAAACGAAAGTATGGCAGTATATTACTTTGATGCGTCGTATTTACTTAATAGACTGTCCAGGTGTAGTTTATCCATCATCAGAAACTGATACAGAAAAAGTTTTGAAGGGTGTAGTTAGGGTAGAACTTGTTAAAAATCCTGAAGATTACGTTGAAGAAGTACTATCGCGCGTAAAACCAGATTATATACGTAAAACTTATAAGATTGACGAATGGAACGATCACATCGATTTTTTGGAAAAGTTAGCACGTAGAACTGGAAAATTGTTAAAAAAAGCAGAACCAGATATTACCATTGCTTCACGAATGGTTTTAAATGATTGGCAACGCGGTAAATTACCATTTTATATTCCTCCTCCTGGTTTTGAAGAACCATTAACAAGAGCAGAAACTAATGAACCTTCTGTTGAAAATAATAATACTGAACAGGAAAATGATGTTGGCACAGATGAAACTGAAACTGTACCAAACAAAGAACCAGCCAAACTTGAATTGTCTGTAATACAAGATTTTCGAAAAATAAGAGTTGGTTTATCATATTACGGTGACGATATTCGAAATGTATTACCCGTTGAAGACAATAAATCTGTAAATAACAATGAAAGTGAAAATGGTATTGAAATTAGTTCTATTTCATCAGACGTAGATGACAACGATATGAGTGAAATTCAAGATGATCAAAATGTATCCATTGAAGAAACATTGTTAGTAGAAAATAAAGAAAATGGCGAATGTAATAAAAATATTGAAAATGATGAAAATGATAATGAGGCAAATGAATATTCTGATGATGAAATTCATCTACCATTAGAGAAAGATACTTTGCTGCAAAGTGCATATGATATAAGAGAAGAAGAATATGATTCTAGCGATAGTGAAATGTTGGATAAAAATACTGTATCTAGTAGTGGTACATTTAAAATTTCTGCTGTATCTGGTAAAGTGGAACATTCAATAGGAAAAGTAGGAAGGACATTAACTAGTAAACAAAAACGAGCTTTAGAAAGAGCCAGTAAAAGAAAGAAAGTTGGTAGTAATTTTTATGAAGTTACTAATGTGAAAAATAGAAATAGAAATAGAAAGGTTCCTAAAATTAAACGAACATAATTTGTACATGAATAGGATAAGAAATTATTAATGTATTATAATGAACTTGTTAATCTACTTGGTATTAAAAATGACATATTTATATTAAATGTGTTTATGAAAAAGATAATTATTTAAAAAATGTAATGGGGAAAGAAACAACATACAGTTTAAAGAAGAATATTTATTAATTATTAAAGGTTACGACGGCAAGAAACTATTGATTTACACGACACACAATTTGAAGGTGGATTACAATGTATATATATATTTCTTTCATGAGACAATATTTTCCAAAATACGTATTGGATCATTAAGTATGAAATTTTACAAATGTCAGAATGTAAATTTTTGGATTTTGAATTTCCCCGAATATCTTTTAATTTGACTAATAATAAATTATTTTTACTTGCCAACAAAATGAAAAAGTTTATTTCCAGTAGGTCAAGTTTCATACTTAATGACCCAATACCATATAATCATTCACACCATCATTCATACATGCATATATACTTACATATAATTCTAAGAGCGATTAATACCTAATTATGCCGTAGTTTTTCAACTTTTGTAATAAGCGGTAGATGTTACAATAATAAGTACAATAGTTATATTTTAAGAACACTTTGAATTCGTAATGAATATTTCAACTTAAAAGAAAACTGTCGGAATGTACCTTAATATAAGATAATATCCTCGCATAAATTTTCGTGATTTTCGAATAACGCGTCTCGTTTTCTATTCCAGTATATTATTAATTCTTAATAAATAAGACACGATTTAAAGAATTTCAAATTTACGTTCTAATTATATAATATACACGGCACAAAATTGGAAACATAATCTACCGACAGTTTAACTAGTCAACTTCAATATGAATTACAGCAATCGCTATGTCGGCAGTAGCTTTTTCAGAAATGCTATGTTGAATAATTGCCGAATTTTATAATTCCATTATACACCACCGCATTCGTGGTAGAAAAAAACAAGCTACTGCTTGTAAGATAGTAATGTACACGCGTATGGTTCAATTTGCCACTTTTTGTCATCTGACTAGAAAGCTTAATCCTGCTTTTCTCTTACAGCAGTACCATTTGCATTTGTGGATTCATCTTCTAATTGCCGGTTTCTTGCTTGTTGCCTTAATTGGGCCCTTTTCAAGCTAGTCATTAATTGACTGGATTGATACAGCCAACTAGCCTGTAAATATAGTATAAACATAGAAAAAGAACAATTATAATAAACATGGGTTTCTCTTGCATCCTGCTAAGACTTATATGTACTTACTACCATTATCATACAGTTCATCAAAATAGGTACAGAAAATACTACAGATATAAAGAGACCATTAGAATCAAAATACTGCTGCCTTGAAAACAACCTATTAAAATTTTAAAAACAAGTTATCACATTGTAACATTACAACTTATATCTTTTTATATCAAATTATTTACCTCCAATTAGATGCAGCTACTTCATTGATGCTTTCAGAAAAGTATACCAAGAGTACTGCAACATTGAAATAATAATATTATACAGTTCATAACTCACATGTATTTCAAATATATTTACATAGAGCTAGAAATAATATAATCTGAAAATTGGCATGGTTCCTTGTCATCAATGCAGTGGTTGTAACAGCAATATGAAAAGTCAATAACAATGCCAGCCATGGATCCTTCCATTCAATCTGCAATGAAACATAATCTTGAATCAAACAACACTATCTTGTATCCTCCTTCTAATGATATTATATAATGGAATAAGAATACTATGCACTGACACTAATACAAGCATTAGACAAAACTAGTTATTAAAACAGTATGCAACAATTACTCAACACTTACATTCTCATAAAATTTACATGATTTATACATTAGATAACGAATACTATTCATCTAAAAGACACGATTTACAATTCAGCAATAAAAACTGAAAATGAAAATGAAAATATTCAGTTTTGTAATTTACTTTCCAAAGTAGTTTCGAGCGTTTAGAAAAACACGAATTAATGGGAGGTGATACATGCTCCAAAAATAGATTCTCGGTTAAAATATTTGTTAATTCTTACTCGATACTTTACATGGGGGTGCTCGATACTGTTAGCATCGGAGTAAATATATTGTCTGATAAATACAAATAATCAAATTGCGAGCCAATAAAGCTGTCATGCGATTCAATGCTTTCGCACTGACACTTATCGCCGGCTGTATCGAAAACGAGAGTAGTAAAGAATGATACGGCAGAAAGGAACATCGTTTCGATGGTCCGAAGGAAGAATTGAATTGTGACAGCGAGTAATCGGAATGATGCAAAAACGAATGGAAATGCGGCACTCACGCTTTGTAAGAACGGTAAAATACCGTCGATCGGAGACTTCACTTGGTCCTCCGGCATTGTGTCGCTGACGAAATTCTCGGCCAGTTCGTTGAAAAATACTATACCTCTTCGAAAAGAAAAACGGTTTGGGCCACAATGCCCTTCTGTTGGTTCTTTTTAATCGACTTCACTGTCGACGAAAGGAACGAACAACGTCAAATGCAGATAAATGCCGCGAATATGGCGTCTCACGAGAGAAACAAATATCACAGAATGATTTTTCCTTTTTCCTCTTACTCTTTCTATCAAGCAGTGCGCAAACCCACACAACGAAAGGCTTATGGGATCACACAGTTAGGATACACAAGTTGCTGCACAAGCTTGCAACGCTATCTACAAATATGTTCCATAACTTCCATAGTTAGAAGCAAGATCAATTTTGCTCGTCGATATTCTATCGGTATTCAGGTGTCAATGTTACCGATCTTAGAACTCTAAGTATGTCTTCATCGATTTACTGATAGATGGTGTTAGCTATTACAGTTTATGGCGATACTTTCAAAGTTATCTGCGAAGTTAAAGAGTAAAAGAAATCTGCTGTTTGTATCACATATGTATAGAGCCTACGGTCCGTGCGTCGCCGACTAAGCGGACGGATCAATGGTATCTTTAACCCCTTACCGTATTTCTGACGAGTCTGACTACAGTTCTAATATGACAAAACTGAACCGTATTTGTATTACAATTGAATTTGAAGTATAATTTCAATTAGAATTGGCACAATACAATACACGCATAATATTTCAATTTTGCTTCTTTCCTTCACAAAGTGTAGATTAAAAAGCGTTTACGAATTTCTTAGTAAAATTAAAGATGAATGGAAAAGAAACGAATCTTCATGACTTATTCATAACAAAACGCTAAGCAAATGAGATGAATACGTTTATGGTTCACTCGAGTTTCAAGCGGAAGTAGACGATGAATGGTAATAAAAAAAGTAGATGATAACTCGTATTCATTTGCAAATTCAGTATATATATTATCGACTGAATACACCGCTTATATTCCACATAATATTGTGTTCGAAAATGAATTAACGTTAATCAGAGTTGCGGGTCAGATATTAATTCATAAAATGCTGAAGTTGTGAATGAAAATTGACGCGCTGTATCAATCGTTATTTTCCACCAAAAACACGTGCAAATTATCCTTCGTTTCACCTAATGTACTCATAATGATTCAGGGAAAATATAATATTATTCTTCGGTCAATAGTAGAGAGGCGCATTAACATTCAAAGTTTCTATGATTATAAAGTCTGCATTGATTTATTGCTTCTTTTTTTGTGTAACATTTTTCATACCATGGTGTTTGTATGGGTCTAGGTCATGTTTGACCCGTCTTCCTTATTCAAGGGTCAAGCAAAAACGATTCGATTCGAATTTTAATCGGAAGAAACAACGATCAAGCGGCAGAATTTGCGTGTCACTTTCGATTGCACCATCGAAGCGTTTGCTCGAATTGTCTTCTTTCGTTAACTTTGGAGAACAGTTGCATATCTGTATAATTGCATACTTGTTGTTTCTTTGGTCACGCGTCCACAACAACTTTGAAGTTACTTTGTTTGGACTTTAATCGTGCTGCTATCTCATTGCAAACACATTTCTTGATTTAGTGACAATCAACGAGAAAAAAGAAAGATCGAGGAAGTGAAGTTTATCCAGCTACCGCGATAACGTTCCTCCTATCAGCTGTGACTATATTCGTTTTTCGGTAACGTTAACGTCAATCAATTCTGTGCTTGATAAATCAACGATAATTAGTAAGGTTTGTAATTTTGTATATATCACTTGTTATCTAACATATTTCAAATTATTATCCTCTTAAAGTTCACGACTTTGAAGAGGAACACAAAATGAAGTTGTAACATTACAAAAATAAGGAATTCCTTTAAAAAAATTATCACCCACGTTCAATTAATTGGATAATGAATATAAAATCCTACAAAACAAATTGCCAGCGATAGTGAATATCAAGAAGACCAATTTCCATAATATTTTATCGCTTTCTTTTAATTTTATTCAACAAGCAAAGATTCCTCTCTTCTTCGTTTGCTTTTATCCATCAAAACAAACGATTTCTCAATTCCAGATTTTCTATAGATTTGAAAAATATTTTCGTTCATTAATAATTGTCCCTGACCAGAGTGAGTAAACATAAAGTTTCATAAGTCACCGTCCATTTTCTTTATCTAATTCTACTGATGTCAGTTTTAAAAATCTATGCAACAAATTTTTATTTTCCTTAAGATTGAATCGAATTACTAATAAAAGATGTATCATCATTTAGCATATATCTATGCAATAAATTATTCGTTCCTTTTCATAAACGTACCCCAAAATTGATGCAACATTATTCACCAAATGTCTCCATCTTCACCTTCCCATATCTTCTTCAATTCAAATTGCACTTATTTCTTCATCAACATTTTCTAAGCTCTTCTTTAGGAAACTCGAAGAAGACAATAACGTTGAATTCGTGATGAACCTAACAAACATTTCTTCATTAACATTTCCCAAGCTTCTCTTAGGTAGTCAAAGATCTCTTCTTCGTGGTAGTCAAAGAAGCCAACGTCCTCGTGGCAATCTTCAGCTCTGATTTCTTTTCAATCAACCTCCAATAAAATTTTTCGTTAACACCTCTCAAGTTTTAGATAGCATCTTCGTCTACTTCACGTAAATTCACTATCTTTTACTATCTCGAACTTCAACGATCCACTCTTAGAACCAAGACAGGTGTTAATGTTCCACGCGAATTTCTTAATCGAAAGTTGAAGTTGTCGCTTATCAACGGTTTAGAGAAACGGGGGCCCCGTGGACGTTTCTTTATCAGGTGACGACGTCGTCGATGATTAGTGTCTCATCTTTATTCGATGTACATAGAGCACGAAATCGGTCGACGCGGAATGACAGTCATGGAATCGGACCGTTGTGACGACGATTGGACTTTGAGCGGTCAAAGATTGGATCGAGATGGTGGACAAGAGGAGGCCTCCTTCTCTTCGTGCGAGATATATCATCGGCTGGGTCACAGATATATCGTGGTCGTCCTGCTGCGAGGATCGTTTCGTTTCTTGCCACATAGTGAATCGGTTGTAGGTCGTCGAACAACGGAAGAAAATGTCGTTCGAGCTTCGTATGCAACCGTTGGGACCGGAAGCTAAGGCCATGGCGGAGAAGGAGCTTAGAGAGATACCGGAGAACATTCAGGAGGGGCTCGCTCAGTTAAAGAAATACCTGGAGGGTGAGTTTCTTGTTTCTTTCTTGTTTCTTGTGATTTCATCGAGGTTCAACCTTTTTGTTTGGAAGGAGGATGATGGAAGTGCTCTCTTTTTATTAACCTGTAGATTTCTTTGACCATTTTCTAAGTTGTTTCTGTGATTCGATTGTGAATCAATCGAATGGCTGTTAGTTTCTTCGTCTGTTGACTTGTTTGAAGATTTTCCAAGTTAATAATAACTACGGTCAACTAAAAATAAATGTAAGATAGGAAATAACTAAAGTAACCAAGGAAATAAAATAATGATAGAATGAGGAGAAATAAAATGCAGAAACTCTGTTAATTTCATATCAATTTTTATCGCGTATTTATTTCGAGCAATAGTAATAATAACTTTAATCTTCAGCTTTATCGCTCCTAGACAGACGATTGGATTTCTACGTCATCTTTTTACACCTGTGAAACAGATTCGTTTGACAGCACTCTTCGACGCGACTGTGATTGATCTCTTCATATTATTGATATTCTTAATAGAAAACCGATCTCTTTGATACGTTAGAGTGTTCAGTAATCATCAATTAAAATAGTAAATAATATTTCATTAATTCTTTACAAGAAGAAAATACTGTAATTTCAAATTTTAGTTGCGGTGCAAGTGTATCGCTATCATTTCTATTTTCAAACGTTATCAATACTGATTCTACACCAATGCAATGGGGGAACGTTATCGCAAGTATCTTCTTTGTTGCGTGATCTCGATGGTCAAGGTCCGACTCGTTATCAATTCGGATTTAAGATCGAATCAATTTTTCGGTATATAATTTTCGATCATGTGCTTACAGGTTGTTTACACCCTAAAGAGATAGGAAAAATTGGTGAACCAAACGACGGGGTCGTTGGTGCAGCGATAAACTGTTATCGAACGAACTTGCATGACCCCGAGTTTACATTACGATGCACTTCGAACTGCTTGAGGTCGTGTCAACGTTCGGAATCTTTTCTTCCATTAACAGAAAATCTTTCACATATTGAACGTTAATCATTCCCCTTATATTTGTGCATTTCTGACATATGGAGGTAGATGAAAACAGGATAACATTTTTACAATATGCAATTATAAAGAGATTGTCGGTTCCTCCGGTTTTGTATACCTGATGATCGTCGTAATTCTTTTTTTAACAAGTATCAAGGCAATTTTCTTGAGTGACATGAGAGGATGTTGGACTTTCCGTGACTGTCGTCCTCGATGAAACGAAAATCGTTCATTGATAGCCACGATTCTTTGACATGATTTCATTTAGGTGACTGTCATTTCTATGAATCTTCCTTTCTGACTGATGGTACATTAAATAAAAAATGACCTGCATAGAAATAATAACAACGTCCAGGAAGTGGTGTCATTATTTGTGGCAAATTTTAATTTTGCCATGGAACAATGGCAGGAAATTACCTTATGAGAGTAGGCCACCTTGGAAGGCCGAAATTCATATGTGAGTTTGTAATTTCTTTCTAAAAAATTTCCATTGCGTTTGTCATTTAAAAAAATAATCCCAAGCTTACATAGGAATTTCGGCCGTCCAAGGTGGCTTACCCCTTTAAACCGAATCGATAATAATAAAGTATCTTCCGTTTTTTAATCTGACGTCTTCTATAAAATTGATCGTTTCAATCAATTTCAATTCATCTAGAACACATGTCATCGTATATATTATTTATCCAACAGCTAAGCTTGTAACCAAGGGAGGTAGACGTATCGGTAACGATTATATTCGTTTGCAAGGTTTATGTATTCTGATCACATATTTATGCATCACCTTTGTTGTTCGACGTCGTGTTAAATTATTCGACGACTATCGTCATGGTTTTGGGTCTCTGACCCTGTTCCCATTTTTAGATTCAAATCGAATAAAAACATACACGGTGTTAATTAAAAAAAAAGAAAAGAAAAATAGGATACTTATATTCTAACAAAATAATTTCGTTCTGTTTCAGAGGACAAGAAGCTCCATTTCAAAACGGACGACGATTTCCTGTTGATTTTTCTTCGACCATGCAAATTCTACGCGAACAGCGCTTACGAATTGATGAAGAGGGTCGCCGAATTCAAAGAGAAAAACGCAGTCCTCTTCGACAATCTATTGCCCGCCGACGAGAAGGTGGCCATTTTGGAGCACAATGTGGTGAATGTACTTAAAAGCACGGATCATAAAGGGCGAAGGGTGCTATTTGTTAACTGCGGAAAGACTTGGGATCCGTCCAAAGTCAGCGCCGATCAGATACTCCGGTTGCTCTATTTAGTCCACTTAATGGCTATGCAAGAGCCAGAAACTCAGGTAATTATAGTGAACACATTTTTTTTTCCTCTTTATTCCTAGACTAATTTCAGGGTCGTGTAATCCCGAGACGACCTTTGTAGAGCGTTTTTGGGGAAGCTCCAGGAACTGTTACAAATCCTCCCACATTTTACTCTTTAAATCTATGTTTATTTCCTTTGCAAAACATTGTTGGAGGGTAATCCTTTTACTTAATCAGAGGTTTATCACTATCCCTGAACCACCATTCTTCTTTAAATCTAACTCAATCCACTTGCTTTCCATCTCTACTATGGATACCTCCTTCATTGCAATTTGTAATTCAAGAATATCGACCGACGTCCAGATGTTTCGTGAAATCGTCTTGTTCGACGAAGTCGTAACTATGGAAAACTTGAGGGAGACCAGTGTATTTCATAATACGACAAAACAGCTTGTGTGTGTAATCACGATCGTTCGATTATGCAAACAATTGCAAACCGACTCCTCCGTTTGTTCCGTTCGGCAATTCGTGCAGCTTGTTTTCTTCGAATGTACTTTGATGTTTTATTATTTACAGATATTCGGTACCGTCGTTATAATGGATTACGATGGTTTGTCTATGAAACAAGTGATGGGTCTCACGCCGTCTTTCAACATGAAGCTGTTGACTTTCATTCAGGACGCCATGCCTTTGCGTTTAAAAGAGGTTTGCTTGTTTGTTTCATTTTTCGCGACAGTCACCGGTTACTTTCACAACTTCCTGATATTTCGTAAATTCAATTGAAGGCTTTGAAAAAATAAAAATACTCTTTCCATTTCACAATGACGTAGAAGGACACTCGAGTAGCATCGTTGATTGATAAATAATAAAATGCTGATCGATTTGGAACATTCTGTACAAATTGATTGTTTTTAGGTTCACATTGTGAAGCAACCATTCCTCTTCAACATGATATGGCAAATGTTCAAGCCGCTCGTCAAGGAAAAATTGAAAAGTCGTATGTTCTTCCATGGTACCAAAATGTCATCTCTTCATCAATACATTCCAAAGAGTCACTTGCCGAAAAATTATGATGGTGATCTGCCGGAAATGGATTACACCAGTGCAGATTGGTACCCTACTTTGCTGAAGCACGAGGACAAACTTAAGGGTAAGAGAAAAGATTCAATTTACTTTAAAATATACACTTAATAGCAATATAATATTGCAATATAAAATAGCAATAAATTAGTTGAATATCATATTTATGCTATGCAGGACACAATAGTAACCGTAATCGATACTTATTTAAAATATTCATGGTTGACTCTCGTTATTATTTAATTATGCATTCGGTTATACCATCGGGTATCGATTCCTTCTATAATTGTAACAAGATATTTTAATAATATTTTATATAAATATTGTACATTGTATAACGTTTATTTATCGTGAAGTAATATTAATAATCTTCAAAGTTATATAAGCCTCGGTATTTTGAAAACAGCTGGAAAATTGTAGTCTCATTTAAAGGTGTGACTCGTGAATGAATAATTCAGTATAATAAATCTCTATTTCCTTATTTTTTTTCAGAATGGAGCACTTACGGATTGCGGAAAAGCCAGTAGATTAAAGGAGAAAATTCGAAATATTCCAATTTTTCTTCGAAATTTTCCCTTTTTGATCACGCGCAGCCTTGTACAAAATACTATTAAGTACTTCACGAATCGTTGTATATTTTTCCTATTAATTCTTGTAATTATTTGTAATATTTTTGTACTATCAGTTACTCTTCCTGTATCTTATAAATGATTTTCCCAAAAGATCGTCGCGTTTCGTTTATCCGTGGAAATCACAATTTCATTTTATTTCCTTTTTCGTATTTAATTCACGTTCTCAATGTGTGCGTATTAAAACGATTTTGTGACCGTGGTTTTCGAGTAAAACTCATGCTCGCCGGTACGTGTAGTTGGGAAACGAAGAACAAATTGAATCAAAATGAGTGTAAGTAGGGAAATGAATGGTAATGTAGGGTAAATAGAAAATAGGTGATAATATTCCAGTTTTAAATGGGCTCTTAGACGTCTCCTTATTCTTTTAATAAACATAAGTATACGAGTGCTTTATTAAAAAAATTTCTAAGGAAATGTACGAAACGACGAAGACGTTTCTTAAATTAGGTCAAAGTGCGATAATATACTCTTCTCGTCTCTTATTCGTACGACGTACGAGTATAATATTGCGTGAAAAATCTAGAACACTCTGAACATTAAAATCCTAAAATAGAAGAATAAAAATGTTCGACACTTTTCATATTCGACGTGACAATAGGAGCAGCAGCTCGCTGGCTAGGCTACTTTTCTAATCGTCAAACTTTCACACTCCGAAATACATTTCGGACTTTCTCTGTTTCCATCTTTCGTAATCATAATTCATTCGTAATCACGGATGCATCTGGGAAAGAAGCGATGTAACGCAACTTCCTTGGATTACGTGATGAAGTAATAGAAAATCTTCCTATTTCAAGCGATCAGACTTTAGTGAAATTTTCTATGTACTTATTTATTTTCTTAATGTAATTCCAAATCAGTATCGATTTCAATTTTTACATATCTTCATTGATTTATTTTTGTGCAATCTTATCTAACCAACAGGCTTTTCGAATATTGATTGATAATATCAGTTTTTGCGTAAGACGGATATGGAGCATCATTTATTGAATTGCTGTTTTCATGATATAAATTACAAATTACGAATTTCTTAAAAGTTACATAAGGCTTTGACTGTATCAAAGACCTCAACTCTGACCTCATCGCTATTCGAACAATACCTATTCTTCGTTAAATATGAAACAAAATTCAATATGAATCAATTTTTCCCACCACGATAAAATCGTCATTGTGAATAATAAATTGAAACGTGGCAGAAAATCATTGGTTCTAAATAGTCTTATTCAATTTTATTTGTCAAATAAAAATAATTTGTGGTGTTAATTGATGATTGAATTTTGTTTAATTTCAATCTTTTTTCCCCTTAATTAATGTGTTACCTATATCTACAAAATTTCTAAATATACATGTATTTTAAATACATAATGGTAATTAAAGCCTGCCCTCTTATACGTGGCCATTTGAATCTAGGCATTTAATTTTTTAATTAGGAGTTGATGAGGGTCATTTCGTAGTTTTTTGATTTTGTTGTATAGGTGGTGGTGTAATGGAATTTCGACAATTGAAACCATGACAATGGGTTATCCGTGCCCTTCCCGCCGGCCACGAACATCAGTTCAAGTGGGAGGACAAAGTTCTCCTCTCGCTTTCCAGCCGATTTCTGACTTACGAGTCCTGTTACGAGCCAGTCGTCGCCGGCATCTCGGCCACGTTGGACAGAATTCTCTCGTCGATCTAGAACAATTCTTCCCTTTGTTCTTCTTTCTATAAACTTAATCCAGTAATCGATGTATCGTGAATTCCATCGCGGATATCTGTGCGGCAATCTATGAACATATTTCTGTTTCTTCTTCGAAGAAGAGGAAGAAACTCTTCAAACGACTCGCTGGAGCGTTAAGGTATACCTTGAAACACGTTTCAATTCTGCTGCGTAAAGATCCTCGTCGAAACGAGAAAAAAGGACAGTCGTTCAGGTATGCTGATTAATTTTTATTTGCTTATTTTTGATAATTTCGAAGAATATTGGTCATGTAGTGAATTAATTAAAGGTGTACTTGATTTAGGAGCAACGAACTTTTATTCAAAATATATACATAATAATGTATCATTTATTTCTTATGTAAGATTATTCTGTGACCGATAAGTGTCATCGACCACTGTATGAGTTCAAAGAAATTATTGAAATTCTATTTTTGAAAATACGGATTGCTTAACATCAGAGAGGTCGTAAACGGGAAGTCGATTATACCTATATCAAGACTGTCATTAGCGACAAGTAACGATGACAATAATCATGTAATGTTGCAATGAAATATTCTTTTCGTTTAAAATCTGAAGAAACAGATTAGAAATAATGAATCTTATCGAATTGTTCATATGCGATTAATTTTTCCCTGAAGCGTTTAATTATCTTATCTAACAGGGAGCTGTTTTAGATGAGTGAGTTTAGAATATAACCATATATATATATATATAGAAATAATCACTGTTGTACTTTGCACTAGATTGCACTTTGTACGAAATATTCGATTTTGATCATTGATTGCTTTGTTGTAACAGCTAATAATTAACGTTGATTGTAGACATAATAATTATTTTTTATTTAACCTTTGGGTGATGTTTAACATTCTATAGATATTAACATGGAATAAAAGAATTCTAATTAATTTGTCGCTGTCTGAATGGTCCACTGGCCTAACAGTTTAAATTATAAGAAAATGTCATCCTAATACGATTATCCTTCAATCAAAGATCTTCTTTAACCAGCTAATATTGTAGTTAGGTATCGGACATACTTTAACAACACCACAAGCACAGCACAGCACACAAAAGCCTTTGCACACACGCACTCGAGCACAGCTGTGTACAAGACCACATAAGAACACACGAACAGGGAGGAAGAACGTGGACCAGGGGGATTGTCTATTGTCTATAGCCAGCTAGATCATGTATGTCCGACAGATAAATTTCTTTGGTGACAAGCAAAGGCCGATCCTTGCCACTGATCCTGGCATGGAGGTCAAACAAGGGAATCCGGACGAGGGGGAAATCATGAAATCGAGAGAGATACCACAGTTCACCGCGGGTAATTTCGTATTGAAGGCTGAATTGGATGATGGCGATGAGAGTTTCAAAGAGAAGGCGAAAAACGAGCTACGAGAGACACCTGAGGTAGTCCAGCAAGCGTTGAAGGACATCAGGGTAATATTAAAAGGTAATTACTACGGCGTTTGCACAAATACCTTTCTATAACACGAAGAATTTGTATCAAGAAAGTTTTCTAATCGAGATCGATCAATTTCTCCACTTTATTGACGAGATTTAACGAGCTCCTTAATTCTCGATAATCAGAAAATTCAACTCTTATCGTATCGATTATTCGATCGATGAAATTGATTGAACGAATGGCAAACAATATAGGTAATTAGCATTAGGTTAAACAGAGAGGGGAAAAAGATACACGTTTATAGGAGGAATGAAATTATAATTTTCCTGTTGTTTGGTACATTCTAAGAAGATATACCGGATGGAAATTCTCCAGGAAGATTCCATGCATTGTGAATGCAACGAAGCTGTTCGTTGTATTTATTTTTACGGTGAAAACCGGTCGAGGGAAAATGAAAGTTTCACTATGCGACTTGATGTTCCTTAAACTGATTTTAACAAGGAAATCAGAATTGACGAAAACGTGTATTATTATATTTGATAAAAATTATTTCAAATAGAGAAATGAAATTCAATGACATTTATGAATATTCTACGTAAAGAATTAAGGCATAATAATAATGAAATTAATAGTTCATGAGATGTTCTTGCCTGATTATTATTCCACAACAAAACGATTTCTTCGATTGCGATGAAGAGTCTCTCTGAACGAAATTAAATTCCTCGTGATGACGATCACGTCGTCAGTACTCTGCTCGATAATTCGAACGTGGAAATTGCACAAACGGGTAATTACCATCTATAGAACTAACAGGTTTTACATTCACAGCTGAGCCAAATTTGGTTTTACCGGACGACGACGAGTTCTTTCAGAAGTTCCTGCGACCTTGCAAATGGTACCCGAAGAGTGCCTTCGAATTGGTGAGTTCGCATATTCGATGCCCAATGTTTAATATATCATACCAATTTATTATGTAAATTTATTATCTGGTAGATGAAAAGGTTCTATCAATTCCGACTGAACCATCCACGATACTGTGAAAATCTGCTACCAAGCGTAGAGACAAAACCATTTGTCTCAGAACTTGTGATACCATTGCCAGATCGAACGATGGACGGTTGCAGATTGTTGCTAATTAATGCTGGAAAAAAATGGAATCCTAAGCAGATTTCTCTTGATAATTTGTTTCGTGCTACTATGTTGTCCTTGGATGCAGCCATAGCCGAGCCAAAGACACAGGTACAGAAAATGAAATAAAAAGAGAATTCGAACAGAGATTAATATTTATTTATTCGTGATTTCAGATAGCTGGTGTCTACGTACTCCTGAACATGGACGGATTCTCGTTGAGCCAAGTAACCTATTTCACACCTAGTTTCGCTGCCAATGTGGCAGAATGGGTACAGAGATGTTTGCCATGTCGTCTGAAGGGAATTCACATAGTGAACCAACCGTTTATATTCAACATGGTCTTCGCCATTTTTAAGCCTTTCCTTATGGTAAGTTCTTTCGCGATGAAAAGTATAATTTGAAACAAATGTATTTTATGTCAATTTCAAATGATCTGACGTTAATTAAGTTAACTCCTAGTTCCTTTTCAAAGAAAAAGAAGTTAAATAATGAATTATACAAGAGCAAATTAAAATTTCAAAAGGATCAAAGAAATAATTCAGGTCATGACGTTGGCGCGATGTTTTCCCATGAGCCACGATAATAGATTCATTTAATTAACTCGTTTAACTATGAACATGTAGCGCTGATTGTTCGAATTATCTTGCAGGAGAAAACACGTAAGAGGATTCATTTCCATGGAACGAACAGGAGTTCGTTGACTTCTATTATAGGCACCAAAAACTTACCTAAAGAACTTGGCGGAGATTTCGAAATGCCATCTATTCCTATTGGCCAAGGAATTTCTGATTATTTCAGTTTGTTCGAGAAAGATTTCGAAGGTAATTTTCATCTTCCATTTGGCTTTATTATTTACTACAGTGTAGATTAAAGAGGAACAAGAAACGCATTGCAACCCGCGAATGTTCTCTCAGAAAGGAACCTTTAGAACACCATTTTTCACGTTCGAATCTAGTCATATCAGAAACGTTCTGCTTCGGATAATTAGGTATCTGATGCGTGGTTGTATGTTGTTTTACCATATGTCATTACCAAGCAAGAATCTTGTTGTGTAATCGTGGTCAAGTATAATTTTCCTTCACGGACGAACAAAGAAAATGTTGACTTCCGGTTCACCTAACTTCGTTATCGTAGAAGTTCATCAGAATTTCAAGGTTTATTCTTTTATTCTTTATTCATTATTCTTGCTACTTAGTTTTGAAAATATAAGCTTGAAGATCGAAGATCGACCTCCTAGAGTGCTCTGTTTAAAAATTAGGTTCAAACAGGGCACCCCGGAAGTCGATCTTCAATTGCTTATATCTCGAAAACGAAACCACCGATTTCAAAATGACAAAAGACTTTTTATTCAATGTAAATAATGAATTACTTCTTATGCGACAAATTAATCTTTTGTTTTTCTTTTAGTTTCCAATAAACACGGGTATGTGAAAAATGCAAAGCGATAAGAAAGCAAGCGAAGTTATTTATCAATGAGAGATCAAACGAGAAACAAGACGCTAAAATCTTACCTTGTACATCAATTAATGGTATGTTAAAAACGATGATTAACAAACAATAATCGTTTGTGCCAATAAATCAAATGAAACATATCGTTGTTTAACTCCATGAATGTGTTCGATCGATGTAAAATCGAGTTTGTAAAAAGGGTAAACGCAAATAATATGTTTAAATAAACTGTGTTCGGATTGTCATATATTTTATTTCATGTATTTTTAATTATAAATAAAAAACATTTTACAGAGAGGAATATCTTACACTTTTCTCCGTACAAAACGTTTGGAATATTGGACAAAATGATTTATCAATCGTGCAACATAAAAATCGATTTATAAATTTAGCATTAAGAAAAAACTTAACTTAAAGAAAAAAG